GATACATCACTTCATCTGTCTTGACTTCTGTAAAAAAAGGAGTTGAAGAGGGTCCCCCAACTATGGGCCAAGGGCTGGTTACATCACAATCACCGGGACCATTGTTAAAGACTCATGTTTCTACACTCTCTCACAGTTCTGTATCAGTCTCCCAAATGGGAATGTATGTATGTTTCCTTAGCAAACAACCCAGATGATTCTGATGGGCACCTGGGTGTGGGAACCACTGCAGTAGATGATCTCTTCTGACGCTAAGAGGTCACTGAGCCTGCTGCTGTTTTAGCCTGTTTTGAGTGGGGCTGGACCTGGTGGAGGTGAGGGAATGCCAGACCTCTCTCAGGGTGTGTGCTGGGGGGACCCCAGGGAATCTGAGAAGGAGGAGGCAGTTACCAGCTTTCACGCCTGGCACGGTGCAGGTTCTCTGCTACCTGTCTTCAGTTCCTACCACGGTAAGGCAGCACATACCAGGGCTCTCCTGGTCTAAACCAGTTTCCTGCCAACCCAGAGATTCTAGAAATAGAAGCCCAAATATTGCTTCCAGGCTCTTGTAGGAGTGGAGAAAAGCAGAGTGCCTGGGGAAAGGCAGTTATTAAGATGAAGTGGGGTGAGGGAGGTTTTCCCCTGTCCCTGCCTCAGGTGGCAGTGGTGCAGTCTGTTACCTTGGAGACCAGCTAACACTTCCCCAGCAGGGCTGGCTCTGCTGCTGAGTTGCTTGGAGGAGCTTAGAGGAAGTGGAAACCAGGAATAGCAGAGTCTTGGAATGACCAGGGGCCCCTCTCCCAAAGATGGAGAAAAAATGGAGAAATGCAGATGAGGGTGAGTGTCATGGGGTAGGCAGGACGCTGAGAGAGAGGGTGGGGCACAGCCAGACTCTGAGCTCTGGACCGAGTGAAAAAGTTTTAAGGAGCCTGGGCCCATGGGCCTCTGCTCCCTACATACCAGGTGCTGTGCTAGGTGCTGGGGGTGCAACCGTAGACTAGGCAGTAGCTGGGCTGTTCTGGGAAAAGGATCATGACAACTTGGTATGAGGCAGCCCCCCCACTGAAGGAAATGATTTCCTTCCTGGGAGTTGGGGCAGCAAATGCGGTTCAGAATAGACTTGCTGGGTTTTCTTGTCAAACAAAAAGGGCTAAGGGTGTTTCTAGAGGCAGGTCCAACTTGAACATAGAGGGTGTGAAATAGTGCATGTAAGGTGCATGTAAGTAGGGGTTGCCAGGGGCTATAGAAGGGTAAGAGGTAAAGTGGAGGAGTAAGCAAGGAACAGGTCCTAAAAAGAATGGTAAACATTGTGAGAAAGGTTCAGCTTCATGATCCCCGGCCCCGAGGAGCCCATGGCAGGTTCTAAACAGGTGAACAACTCTGCATGTCAGAAAAATCATTCTGTCAGCAGAACATAAAATGGATTGGATGCGGGTAAGGCTTAGGTTGTTCAGCCATTCAAAATACAAACCCTGGGGATGGCTGTGTCCTGGATGTTTAGGAGACCAGCTATTAACAAACAAGGAAACTAGCTGGAGGTTTTCTTTTATCCAGTAACCAGGGCTACTCCCTCTCTCCCTTTGACCAAGATGTCGTCTCCTAGGGGCCAGTCTACATATCCCCTTCCCCACCTGAGCCCAGTCCCCCAGGGTTACCTGGCCCACCTTTGTCTAAACTCCAGACCTGCCCTGAGGGTACTTATTCAACAAATTTTTTGAGCAGCTACTATGTTTTAAGCATTGACTACACAAAAGGGTTCCGACAGTGAACATAACGAAGTCCCTTCCCTCATGGATCTTACTCTTAGTGGATTGATGGGTGAGGGGAAAAGGTACTAAGTAAGTAAATAATACTCCAGATGATAAAACAAAAGATGTTCTGGAGAAAGTAAAGCAGGGTGTGGAGAGGGTACTATTTGAGATGGGGTAATCAAAGCTCTCTAATGACGTTTCATTTGAGCAAAGATGGAGGGTAAGGGCCTTTTGCAATTCATCTCTGCCTCCTCTGTACCAGCTCTTCCTGGCACCCAGCAAACATCCTAAAAATGTTCATGGGATGAGTGATGGCTTATGTGTCACATGCTGAAGCGCTTGAAGAAGCAGCACATCCTTCTAACACTATTCTGCATTTCTATAGTAGTCTGTATTTACAGAGCTCTTTGACATCCCCACGTCAGAGTTGGGTCTCTTGATGGCTGTGTTGAAGCAGGCAGGGCAGTTACTAGCAACCCCGTTCTATTCTGTAGATGAAGAAACCCAAGGTCCAGTGCTTTCTAGAACACTACATTGTAGTCTAGAACACTACATTTATGCTGACCACACCGTCCTCCATCAGTCACAACAGTCACCCTATAATCCAGTCGTGTAGGCCTCTGAATTCATTAGATTGTTAATCATTCACTGAAAAACTGGAACTGGGACATTGCGGGGCATGCAATGTTCACGAAGCATTTCTATTTCAACAGTTTCCGTCACTGGTCTCTCAGCCAAGCGTCCTGAAGGAAAGCCAGTTGTTTTTTAAACATTTTTTTAACATTAACAACGTTGCCACATTATCTTGGTGCTTCCCAAAAAAACAAAGCATCCTCTGAGTAAAAGGTTAAAGACCCCAGAGAGAAAACCAAGTTGCTGCACCATCATTATGCTATTTTCTTTAATGATTTCATAAGAATGCACACTCTCAAATTTTCAAGCTCCAATTCCCGAGTTTCTCTCTTGTTGTATTTTAGCCAATTTTTTCTGGTTGCAAGTAACAGAAATCTAAATGAGCTAGCTGAAGCAGAAAGATAGGGAATTACAAGGAACAGGTTTTTTTATGGAACCCAAGAGCAAAAAGTGGAGGCAGTTCTCACAAGTACCTGGGATCAGCATTTAGAAATTCAGGAACCAAGGCACTTTCCCAACCTCCTCCCCTCCTTTCACGTCCTCTCCCCCAAGAATTTATGGCCTGCCAGTCCCTGCTCTCTTGTAACTTATAGTCTGATGGGAGAGAGACACCAATTTTTAAAAATCACTAGTGAATGTATCATTCCAAATTAAAATAAGTACTCTGAAAGAAAGGAGCACAGTTCTGTGAAAGTTTACATAACACATAAGGACCCGAAATACAGCAGGAGGGTGAAGAAGCCTTCCCCAAGAAAGTGACACTTAGGCCGAAATATCAGGAATGAGTTGCGGGAGGCAGGAGGGGATGTTCCAGAGCAAAGGCAGCCATGCAAAGGCCCTGTGGTTAAAGGGACTGTATAACATTCCAGGAACTGAAGGGGGGGTCGTGGGACACAGAATGGGGGAACAGGGGGAAATCTGGAAAGGTAGGTGGGCAGCAGCCAGATGATGCAAGACCTCAAACTCCATTGTAAGGATCTTAGTCTTCATCCTAGAGATGAAGAGAAGGCTTTGATTAGTTTGAAGCAGGAGGAAGAAAAGAAGATATGGCATTGGATTTGTATTTTTATTTTTTTTATTTTATTTTATTTTATTTTATTTTATTTTATTTTATTTTGGATTTGTATTTTTAAAAGATCACTCTAGCTTCAATGAGAACAGACTGGATGGGAGGGTCTAAGGGAAGGTGAGGAGGCCAGTTAGGGTCTATTGGAGTTGTCTGTGGCAGAGATGACAGTGGCCTAGACAGAAAATGTCACTGGAGACAGAGATAAGTGGAGAGATGTGAGAGAGGGAAAATTAACAAGTTTGGGTGATGGATTTGATATGGGGAATGAGATATCAGGAATAATTCCTAGGATTCAGACTCATATAAGGAGATGGAGAGTGGGTCTTTTCTTTAAGCTTGAAAATACCGCAAAGAGGATAAGTTTGTAAGGAATATGAATTCGGTCTTGGGACACGTTGAGTTTGAGGTACTCCAGGTGGAAATATCCCGTGTTGATGAACACAGGGTGGGAGGTTGGCAGTCAGAGTGGGAGGTAGGGATTTTTGACCAGCCATGGGGGGGGGGTCATTGATGTATGTACATGGTAGTTGGGGCCCATGGACAGTGAAAGATAAGACTGCCTAGGAAAAAAAGATAGAGAAGGGTAGAGAAGGCATAGTTTAGCCTTGAGGAATACCGACTTAAAATTCTCCAGTAGAGGGGAAAAAATGACTCTGGAAGGGAGACCAGGAAGGAGCCAGCAGAGAGAGGAAGAAGGCAAGAGAGAATGGCCCCGAGGAAACCAAGGCAGGAAGGACCACTCACTCCCCTTTATCTGAAGAGCAGCTTTTCCTGCTTTTGAATGTACGTGGTGGTCCCGTAACTCTTATTCCAAATTCCCAGAGAGGATCTGATTGATCCATCTTGTTCCTGTCCACAGCTGACTCTAAGCTGTGAGGAGCAGGCTGCAGGGTCAGCCCTCACTCATTGCCTTCTCTGCCCACTTCAGCCCTCACCATACTCTTAACAAGGCCATCTCCTTCCTGTCCTTCACGAAGGTCTGAGCTCCTCATGGTCAAGGCTTCACTGACCACCTTACTACCTATGCAAACCAGACCTCTTTCCTAATTACTCTCCATCCCATCATCCTATTCACATCCTTCCTAGCACGTGCCACAATTTCCATATATATTATATTTCATTTTTTAACATCCATCTTCCCCCTCTAGCATGGAAGTTCTAGCTCAGTGGTTCTCAACTGGGGACGACTGTGCTCCCAGATGTTAGGTTATGTTTATAGACATTTTTGGTTGTCACAACTTGGGAGGTAGGTATGCTACTGGCATTTATTAGGGAGGACCAGGGATGCTATTTAGCATCCCACAATGTATAAGACAGCTTCACGACCAAGAATGACCCTGACCAAAATGTCAAAAGTACTAAAGTAAAGAAGCCTCCCTTACATTATTCACCATCATATCCTCAGCACCTAGCACCTAGGAAGTGTTCGAAAAGCATTTAGTGAATAAATGAATGAATGACAGAAGAGTTGAGTTGACTATAGATACTGTGAAAGCCATTGTCTCTATGCTATTGTCTCATTTATCTTTCTCTTTCTGGTATTCCTTTTCTCCCCAGGAAAATAAGTGCCGGGTGTTTTTATAATGGCTACACATATTACTCATGACTTCCATGGTCATGATAATAAGTTTCTGGAAAATCATTGGTAAGCATCCTCTCTGATTTTTCAAATGAAAACAACAGCAACCACATTTTGTTCCTTCTGGTTGAGGGGGGGAGGGGGGACCTGCCTCCAAGTGAGACTGGATAAAAGGTCATGGCATCATCTCACGCCCAGGGGCTTCAGTTTTCTCACTACCTGAACAATTGAATAAAATGTCTTATGAACCTGGAGTCCACCTTTTATCAGGACTCTATAGGAACCCTTCCCAGTTACAATACAGAAATAAAAATGTCTCTGGAGACCCTGGCAATGTGGAACCAATGTCTAGTGCTGGGACATTGATCAGTCACTCACTGTGTGTTTTGTAGTATGAGGAGAAACAATGACAGAGATCCAAAGAAGCAATTGGACCAGAAGGATATCCATGGACTTGACCAAAATCCAGACAATGGACTACTGGTTACACATGTTAACCAGACACAAGACTTACTGGTAAAAACATCAGTGCCTTAACCGAGTCATGTTGCTTACAAATCATAGTCAGGGAATGCAGAATGTGTTAAACTCTGGGTGTTTCTTTCCTCACATAGGATCTCAGGATAGAAAATGATCATTAAGCATTCACCTCTAATCCTCTGCCTTTAGAAGTGACAGGAACCTCTATTCTGTGTATAGAAATTTTATACCCTTCTTGGTCATATCATTAAATATTCAGGAGTATATGAAGACTGTCTATGTTAGCAAAACCTGAAGACTAGAGAATGTAATTCTAAAATTCCCCTTTCTGAGATTTGTGTTTCTTTCAGGATTTCCTAAAGCCTAGATCCAAAAATCAGTTTCTGGAAGTGCTATCAGGGCAAGAGCATTGCAGCAAGAGAATTAACTTCTAGAATTACCAGAACTGTGGTTTTAGGCTGACTCTCAATGTGTTGATAAACTGTTTTCCCACGATGGTAGATGGATGGTCTAGACCTCAGAATTCACTTTACCACAGAAACAATTGTCATTGGGATAGTTAGGTGCAAGCCTGGCCTATAATCACCTACCTAATCTACATGAGAGTTTAAAGATTATATGTCTGAGATGACAATCTGTCAAAAATAATTCAGTTCTAATGCAATCAAACAATCAGGAAAATGGTCTTGTTTTGCTTTTCTCAAGTATTGGCACTAGAGGAAAGTAATTTTAATTAAAAGAAAATGAGGAAATGTCAATAGTCTGGAGATTCTGGGGGATTCTTTTCAATGACTTCAGATGTTGATATAATATGAGTCTTTACTTCATCTCATTTCATATCCAATACATGACTTCCCAGGCGTACAAGGACCCCTCATACACTTACCAGCTACAGCTGGGACCTCCTTTACTTCACAGATGAATAGCAGGGGAAAGAAAAAGGATTGCCTCAAAACAAAGATCTTCCTACTTTCTATATGAAGCCCATACCTTAGTATGTAATCAGTGGGCCCTACAGTGAAAATCTATCATGTCCATGTGGTAATGGTGGACTTCAAATAGCAATAATATCAAACCCATGTCCTAAAACACGATGGGTCATTTCACATTCAAATGCAAGTAAGATGGAAGAAAGGTGAATTATCAGTCTACCATGCATGATGTTATCAACCAGGGAGTCAGGTGAGTCCTGAAAGATGAAGAGAGTGACATCTACTGTTTATACAAGGTAAAGCAGCGTTTCCCTAAGTGCAAGATAGGGACCATGATTTTAGGTGGTGCTGTCCAAGGGCAGGACATTATTAGCATAAAATCATATGAGAAAGTTATCTTTTTAGTCAGTTCCCCCTCAATCCTTCACAAAGATACTCACAGTTTGGTAATATGAGCTATGCAGCTTGGGTTTGAATCCCAGCTGTACTACCTACCAACTATGTGACTTTGGGAAAATTACTTAAATTTTCTGTGCCTCGGTTTCTCTGGGGTAATGCTGGAAACTACTTTGTAGAATTAAATGAGTTAACATATGGACAGTGCTTGACAGATAGTACGATTTAAGTGTTTGCTCTATACTGTTATTCGCACTTCTTTTACTTGCTAATTTCCTTTTGAAACAGGGCAGTGAACAGGCCTCAGGCACAGAACCGAGGGCTTACAACAGTATCTAGCTGGAATATAATAGCAGGATTTCATTTTCATTGAGGGGGAGATATGGACCATTGTTGAGATCTGTTAATGCAGGGACACCCAAGGCTATGTGCTGGCTTAGCCTCAAATGCCCCTTGTACAGGTGAAAAAAGAGCCACATGGACTTGCCCAGTATCACAAAGCAAGTAGATGGAGAACCCCACATACTGCACTCCTTTATTCTCTCCTGCTCTTCTCTGGACTCTCCTTGTGTCTTCTACCCTGTCTAGTGGAGCTCAATCAGCTATCTGCAGTTTTCAACCCTTTGTCAAACACCTCACTCACTACAAAAGTCCTGAAGATACAAGCCCAAGCAGCACCCACTTAGGGTTCAATCAGGTGCCCAGGAGATGGGCACAGCCATGTCTGATGTGGATGCGGTCCAGGTGGGCTAAACAGTGCGCAGGCCCATTCCCCAGCCATCAGATGCTGCAGGGCAATCTCCATCGTAGTGGGACTCAGCCGGCCTCCCTTATGATGCCATACCATGCCCAGGGCGAGTAATGCCCAATTCTGGCAACACTTACATCTTATGTATATTACACAACAGTGATTACTCTGGAAGCCCTGTCTGAACCAGGCCTTGCACACCTTCCCAGCCCCTTTTCATGTCACCTTACACATTCCAACTGCAAGTGGCCACCTTTCTGCTCTACAAACAGTCCGACGCCTTCCCCACTCCATGCCTGTCTGGAATAGTGGTGCCCTAGCTATGCACAGGGCCGGCTCCTTTTCTTCTTTTTCTTCTTCTTCTTCTTCTTCTTCTTTTCTTCTTCTTCTTCTTCTTCTTCTTCTTCTTCTTCTTCTTCTTCTTCCTCTTCTTCTTCTTCTTTCTTCTTCTTCTTCTTCTCCTTCTCCTTCTCTTTCTCCTTCTTCTTCTTCCTCTTCCTCTTCTTTTCTTCTTCTTTTTTTAAGATTTTATTTATTTATTTGACAGCACAAGCAGGGGGAGCAACAGGCAGAGGGAGAGAGAGAAGCAGGCTCTGGCTCCCTGCAGAGCTAAGAGCCCACTGTGGGGCTTGATCCCAGGACTCTGGGATCATGACCTGAGCTGAAGGCAGCTGTTTAACCAATTGAGTCACCAGGCCCCCTAGGGCCAGCTCCTTCTTAACCTCCAGATCTCAGCTTACAGCAGCCTTTTCTTTCTTTCTTTCTTTCTTTCTTTCTTTCTTTCTTTCTTTCTTTCTTTCTTTTTTTTATTTCAGTCTTTTTTTTTTTTAAGATTTTATTTATTTATTCATGAGAGAGAGAGAGGCAGAGACACAGGCAGAAGGAGAAGCAGGCTCCAGGCAGGGAGCCCGACGTGGGAGTTGATGCTGGGTCCCCAGGATCAGGCCCTGGGCTGAAGGCGGCGCTAAACCGCTGAGCCATCTGGGGCGCCCACAGCAGCCTTTTCTTACCCCCGCCTCAGCTGAAGTGACCTCCCCATCTCCACCCTACTCACTATTACATTTCCCTGCTCCATGTTCTTACTAGAACTGTTCTTTTCTGAAATTACATACACTGATTTCATCTCTTCTCTACTGTTTACCTTACCCACACGAAAATGTAAGTCCAAGAAGGCAAGAACATTTTTATCTTGTTCACACTGTAGCCCAAGCACCAATGACAGCACCTAGTTCATAGAAGGGCTCAGAAACACCTACTGGGGGAAGAAAGAAATGCCTGCCCCCAGGAGAGGTGATCAAGGCCAAATGGGCTTAGAGCCTCCAGTCTATTTTCTCTGCCTTCTGGGTTCCAGAAAGCACCACCAGTGTTGAATGATTGCCAAGAACAACTTCAGCTCCACCACCAAGGCCACCACCCAAATCCTGAGCTTGGCACAGTGAAAGTGACACAGGTGTCCCTAAGTATAAGCAAGGGGGCACAGTCCTCGTGGTCAGACTCCTGTGATGGTGAGGGAATTCTGTATTTAAAATTCCTACCTGCTGTTCCTGTTTCGGCTTCTGGACTAGATGGGATAAACCCATTCCTTCTTCCATCAGCCGACAATGTTGGGTGAGGACCCATCAGACTGATAGCAAGGCAGGACTCTGGGCAAGATACAGAAAATGCAAGTACGGAAATAAAGAACACCCACATGAGAAGAGAGGAAGTTTATTCAGAGTTTATAGCAAGGGAGCCAGCCACTTTCACTTGTGTTTGGCAGAGACTCAAAGGCAGGGAAGTAGGAGAGCTTTAGAGTGAAAAAGGGAAAAGCTTCAGGTATGCCCAGAAGGGAAATGTTGGCATGAGGAAGCTGGAAGTGCGCTAACTAGAAGCCAGGCATCTCCTATGATTGGTTTTGAGGGCATATTTGGCTGTCTCTGGTGGGTCCTGAGTTGGATGTGGAACAAAAATAGGAAAGCTGGAGGTCATTGACCATGTCTTGATCCTTCTGGGACAGTTGCTACAGTTGTGGTTTGGCTTCATGGACTGGTTGCTATCAAGGTGGTGGGTCGGAGTGTTATCGTCCTATGTGGTCTGGCCACTGTCTCTCATATTCAGTCTCTCACAGGCAAGATGTGGTAAGCAACGCTCAGATTGTCTAGCCACACACTGGGGATGAGGTGAGGGATGAGAATGGGTATTTCCAGAGCAGCTGGCCCTGGACACAGGCCTCCTCAGTTCCCTCAGCAAGTTGAGTTCTTTTTTTTTTTTTTTTAAGATTTTATTTAAGATTTTTAAAAGATTTTATTTATTTATTCATGAGAGACACAGAAAAAGAGGTAGAGACACAGGCAGAGGGAGAAGCAGGCTTTATGTGGGAACCCAGTTCAGAACTCGATCCCAGGACCCCGGGATCACTCCCTGAGTCAAAGGCAGATGTTCAACCACTGAACCACCCAGGCATCCGCAAGTTGAGTTCTTGAACAGACTGCATTCAGGGAGGACCCACTGGAGTTGGCAAGCCTTGGGCATCTGGGTGGAGGGGACCTAGGGCGTCCTCAGCCTTGCCCTCTTTCCCCACTTTTCTGTTTGATTCTGGCTCCATCTCACAGAGGCTTCAGGGAGATGAGACCCATCCTTCGGCTTGGGAGGACTCAGAAGACTGGCTTTCAACACACAGTTTACAGTTTGAGAGGCTCACCCTGGCTGACCTGCTTAGCCAGGGCACCGCTGTGCTGTGAGTCTGGCACCCTTCCCTTCACCCCAACCCTGCAGATCCTGCACACTCCTGCCCCATCCTGGGAGACCCCTTCATAAGACTTTGCTTCTTCAGGGAGGAAGGCAGCAGTGTGATGAAGAAAGTGCACTTCTCCACCCAGATCATCCACCAGTTTGAATCAAGGCTTTCTGAGTAAGTATGAGAGCTCAGGAATTTCCTCATTCCAGCAGCCTGAAAGTAACTGTGTCCAGTGGTGCCTGGGTGGCTCAGTCAGTAAGCAACCAACTCTGATTTCAGCTCTGGTTGTGATCACAGTGTCGTGAGATCCAACTCCATCCCACGTTGGGCTCCATGCTTGGCATGGAGTCTGTTTGAGATTCTCTCTCTCTCCCTCTGCCCCTTCCCCCTGACTCTCTCTAAAATAAATAAATAATTAATTAAAAAAGATTTTATTTATTTATTCATAAGAGACACAGAGAGAGAGAGAGAGAGAGACAGAGACAGACAAAGACATAATCAAAAGGAGAAGCAGGCTCCCTGCAGGGACTCTGATGTGGGACTTGATCCCAGGACCCCAGGATCATACCCTGAGCTGAAGGCAGATGCTCAACCACTGAAGCCACCCAGGAGTCCCAATAAATAAAATCTTAAAAAAAAAAAAAGTTTGTTTGAAAAACAATCTCTGGGTTCTTGGGCAGGTCTCTCCCCCATCTGGTCCTAAATGCCTCTTTCCTCAAATAAAGACATTGGATCATACTAGTTTTTCTTAGCCTTTTAAAATCCATGGGCCCTTTGGGTGAGCACGTAAAACCTCACACCTTCATTCTAGGTGTAATAGTTAAGTGACCACTTTCGATGACAGATTGGTTGGGTTTATACTTTTGCAAATGTATAACAAAAATAGGCAGTCTATCCTCTCCCAAACCAGATTTTCAGAGCACATATATATATATTCCATCCCTATTGTAGCAATCTATGATCCATTATTACTGTTTACTTGGGGTTTCTTAAAAGCCTGGAATAATTAATACCTGTAATTTATTAATGTGTCAGGAACTCTACTAAAGGCTGTGTGCATTATCTTGTTTAATTATCACAACTGGAGATATATCACTCTCAAACCAAATATCCAAAATTCAGTTGATAACTGACCAATTTGCCAGATTTATCAAAACATTTTAGCTGTAACTTTTTTTTTTAAGATTTTATGTATTTATTCATGAGAGACACAGAAAGAGGCAGAGACATAGGCAGAGGAAGAAGCAGTCTCCCTGTAGGGAGCCCAATGTGGGACTTGATCCCAGGACCCCGGGATCACACCCTGAGCCAAAGGCAGATGCTCAACTACTGAGCCACCCAGTTGCCCCTTAGCTATAACCTGTGTGGCAAACTTTATTGGGTATGAAGGTTTAAATAGGTTTTTAAAAAATTTTGTAATGTTTTGGTTGATTGGTTTTAATCGTGAATCAAGCATGTTAAGGAAGGTTCAAGTCCATTCAGCTAATTCAAATTGATTTTTAGGGAATTGGCTTTCAGCAATCTGACTTTTGTCAAATTGACTTGGGTAGAGTCCTGGTATTATCTTTATGTTGGAGGTTCAGAGAGGTTACCACACCTGTCAAAGGTCACACAGCTAGTAAACAGCACAGCTGGCTCTCAAAGACCAGCACATCTTATTATGAAGCTCATACTCTTCGTTCTATTTACCCTCATGTATACCTTAAAACTCTACCCACCACCCACTGCCCCATGATTTCACATCCAAAGGTCTTGCTTGCCCTTTTGTAGGCTGTCAAATACCTCTTGCCCTCAGTGAGGGCAGCTCAGTTAAATTCAAGTGATGATTCCTGAACTTGAGCACCTGTTACATGCTTTCTATCCAGTCATTGGAATGGTTTGCAATAGGGCAAGTTCAAGAAGTTCTCCCAACTACTTTTTGGAAACTGAGTGGGGTTTTTGTTAATCAGTCCACTGAGAACCTGAGGCTGAACTGCCTCTACTGGGCATTTATGATCATCTCCCTGTGACTAGGAAGTCTCACCTGAGGCGGTATAGATTTGAGAAGAGCAAGACAGTACCCAAAAATCCCATCCACATCTTCTTCACATGCACATAAGTGCCTGTCACTCAGTGCTGGAGCTGACCTTAGGTGATGAGTCTTTCGTGTTTTGACAGGGCTATTAAACTCTACCAACAGAGAATCCAGTGGCTCACAGAAAGCAGCAGAAAGGTAAGAGACAAGGATTTCATTTTCTGCCCCCTTTTACTCATTCCATCTGTATTTGTTACAGTTCTTTTAGTTGCAAATGACAGACCTCCAACTTAAACTGACTTAAGCTGAAAAAGGAATTTCTCAACCTACATAAATGAAAAACCCAAACACAGCTGTATCCATGGGCTCAGATGATGTCATCTCTTTGTCTCTGGGCTCTCCTTTCCTCTGGGTTGGTTTTATTCTTTTTTTTTTTTTAAGATTTGTTTATTTAGGGATCCCTGGGTGGCGCAGCGGTTTGGCGCCTGCCTTTGGCCCAGGGCGCGATCCTGGGGACCCGGGATCGAATCCCACGTTGGGCTTCCGGTGCATGGAGCCTGCTTCTCCCTCTGCCTGTGTCTCTGCCTCTCTCTCTCTCTGTGACTATCATAAATTAAAAAAAAAAAAAAAGATTTGTTTATTTATTTGAGAAAGAGCATGAGTGGGAGGGGCAGAGGGAGAGGGAGAGAGAATCTCAGGCAGACTCCATGCTGAGTGGGGAGCCCAACACAGGTTGGGGCTGGATGTCACAACCCTGAGATCACAACCTGAGCCAAAACCAAGAGTTGACACTTACGTGATTGAGCCATCTGCAGGCCCCACCATACCCTTTTCTGATGGAGCTACAAAAGAGCCATGAAACAAGCACAGGCTGGATCCCAGGGAAGCAATCACCCATAAATCAATTTGTGGGTCCTCTGGGTGTTGAGGCAGCCTGGGGTGATGGACAGGCCAGCATTGGGCCTGCTTCCCAACTACTGTCAGCAAGGCTGTGGGCAAGTGGCCTCACTTCTCTGGGTGTCTGTTTCCATATTTATGGAGGATAAAAGCAGGACTTAAAAACCAGTGGCATGCTGGCAAATCTGGCCCACAGCCATGTTTTTCTTGGCCCTCCTAGTTTAAAAATATTTCTCGAGTTAGTTGCCAAGACTTAAAATCCTGGTGTTCTGTGTTTATGTCTGTTTTTAGCCCTCTCTTAAAAAATGGGAATATCTGGCATCACCAGGTTTCAATTCCCTCTTATGTACTTACCCAGTTATTTCTGCAGGATAAATGTCTAGAATTCCAATGCCTAAGTTTAAGAGAATGAATGCTTTCAATTATAAAATCTCTAAAGACAGTTTCTGTAAATTGTAAAAGGAATAGAACTGGCCCCACACTTGAACTCCTTTTGGCTCCTGAGGATTGGTAATGTTCTGGGAGGCCTCAGAATTTGGGTTGTTTGCGTCATGAATTCAACATATATTGATTGGATGACTACTACATATCAGGCACCGGTCCAGGATTGAGGATTAGAAACATGACCAGTACAAAGGTCCCACCTTCATGGAGATTATAGTCCAATGGGGGAAGACAGAGAATGAATAATCAGCAAATCCTATGCAAGCCAAGTTAGTGATAGTGCTATAAAGAAAAATAAAGCAAGGCAAGGTAATAGAGAGTAGGATAGAAAGAGGGCTATTTAAACAGAATGGTCAAGGAGGAGACATCTGAGCAGACACCTGAAGGAGATGAGGGCACTCTCATGTAGAGATCTAGGGGAGAACATTCCAGGCAGAGGAAACAACAAATGCCAAGGCTCTAAGACAGGAACTAGCTTGGCATGTTCTAGAAGCAGCAAGCAGGCCAATGTAGCAAGCACAGAGTGAGTGATATGAAGGAGAGGGGAGGAGATGAGGCTCTAATCAGGGGTGGCCTCGCAGAGTTCAGAGCTCATTCCACATTCCACGGGTGAGGCTTTTAAGCAGGAGGGTGACATGATCTGATTTAAGTTTCCAAGAGATCACTGTGGCTGCTTCATAAATTGACTGTAGAGAACCGAGGCTAGGTCAGAATGGTAGTGACTTCAGCTCAAGAGCTAGGATGGATGGAATGAGAAATGGTGGGCTCAAGGCATGGCTTGAATGTAGAGCCAGCAGGACTGCTGATGGATTGCTGATGTGTTTGGGGCCAGAGTGGTTGGGTGCCTGTTGAATGCCATTCACAAGAGGACCAGGTATGAGGAGGAAAAGCAAGAGGTCTTGGTTTTACCATATGAAATCTGAGGCTTACCAGACATCTGGGCAGAGACACAGAGCAGGCAGTTGAATGCATATGTTTGGAGCTGCCAGAGAGCTCTGTCTGCAGATGGACTTTGGATTATCATCAGGGTCCTAATGGTGTTCTAATCCCATGACACATGAGATCATTTAGGGAGTGAATGCAGAAGAGTGGTTCTTAACAGGGTGGGGAGGAGGGGACAGTTTTGCCCCCAGGGGACATTTGGCGAGGTCTGCAGGAATGTTTGGTTGTCAAGAGTGAGATAGGAGGTTGCCCGGGAAGCTGCCAAACATCCTACAGTACACTGGTCAGCTCCCCACAGCAGAGGATTGTCCAGCTCGAAATGTCAGTAATTCAGGGCTTGACAAACTCTGATATGAATAAGGAAGAGAAAAGAAGATGAAGCCCTAGCCCTGTGCTTCTCAAACATTCAAGGCAGCCAAATCCCTTTTGGTGGGCGGAGTAGGGTGGGGGGGCTGTTAAAATGCAGACTCTAATTAGATGCAGATCTGGAGTAGGACTTGAGATTTTGCATCTAACAAGTTCCCAGGACATTCTACTATGTAGACTTTGCGGGGAGGTGGGAGAGGGTAAGAAGGACTGGACAGCAAGTAGAAGAAGCAGAAAAACCTGATGTCCTGAAAGACAAGAGTACTTGTTAAGTGCTTCAACTTGCTTGACGCAGCCAATTAAAGAAAGCCAATTAGAGGAAGCTGAGAACCTACATTTGACCATTGGGTTTGGCAAGAGTGAGATCATGGTTCACCTTGACAAGTGTAACTTCGGGGGAGTGAGGAGGCAGGAGCCTAACCCCCCTAACCCCAGGGGTTGCAGAGAATTGGGTATGGGTAAGGAAGTGTCACTAAAATGTGAAGCAGGGAAATGAGGGAAGCAGGAGGGACAGGTGCGGTCCTGAAAGGTTTCTTTCCTTTTTCAGATGGGAAATAGTATTTTGTAGATTGTATGATGATCGAAATGGTACAATAGATAGGAGGAGCTGGTGACCTAGGAGAAGGGATGGTTACAGCAGCAAAGCCCCTAGTTGGCAAGAGAACAGTGGGTAACGGAAGTCAAAGGTTGGCCTTAGAGCTTGAAGTTGCAGTAGAAACGTCATAATGGGGGAAGAAGACCAAGTGTGTGGGCAAAGGGGGCAGGCAGGGTGGTAGGTTCTGTGTGGAAAGTTAAAAAATAAAAACAAAACTCTGGGTTGTCTTTCTTTTCTCAGTGAAATCAGAGGCAAAATCCCTGGCTGAGGGAGCGTTCAAAGGGAATATTAGGGTGTGAGAGATATAAAGTACTCCTCTGTGGGAGCAGAGAAACAAATTGAACAGGAAAATGCAGTAAAGCAGGATTTAAGGCAAAAAGCATTAAGTGGAACCCACTGCCCCAAGAGAACAATCTGTCTCATGTGAATGAAAATCCCAGTTCACAATGCAGCTGTAACAGGACGAACAGTCCAAGGCGAAGTCCAACGCATCTGCACGTAGAGCGCAGTGTTAGAAACATAATTAGAAGCTCACAGAAATACCTCGGCAGCTTGACACATCTGCCTTTGATTGGTAGAGTGGGCGGAAAACAAATAAGGATGTCGAGAAGTAGAATCAAATCAGCTGATGTGATTAGATAAGATATCTTGCAAAGGATGCTTTGCCGTGATCTCCAAATTTTCTTTAATGGACATGTATTCCTTTATCAGAATGGACTGTAAATATTAGGAAAAAAAAAAAAAACTTGTGCAGACCAGGCTACTACAAAATAGGAGCAGATGAGGCCCAGAACTAAAATCAGGACAATGGGTTTTGCCTTTTCATCTACAAAATGGGCCTGCCTTCTGCTGCTTTTGGAGGTTGGGGGTGCATTCCAAATTCTGCATCATGCAGAAGTGCCCGGTGAGAGGCTTAAGAGAAGCACAGAGCTGTGTTGGTTGCTTCCACTTGCCCTCTTTGGTTTTAGGCATTTGGTCTCATCAAGGGAGCCAGAGTCGCCATTGTCATTGATGTATCAGCCATGAGCAGTGGCTCTCAGAAAGAGGAGTTCCAAAATGACTTCCTGGTGAGTCTGTCTGGCAAGAGAAGTACCTGGAACCACCTCCCACACACACACCCCTCCCTTTTGTGAGTCTTGCTAACCGGCTTTGTTTATAGCAACTGCAAACTGAGGTGTTTTGCAAAGAACAATTCACACTTAATTAGCACCTACAGTTTAAAGAAATATGTCGAGCTCATTTTCAGTTCCTGTGTGAGCTTCTAGCATTCTCACCACAGCAGGCCCGACCAACTAGACTTGGCCACAGGAGCCCCCAGTTCCCTGGGAAGAGGACGTGCCAACAGTAATCAGTTAGACTGGGTCCAGCATGGCTTAGCACAGGGTCCCAGACCTTTTTCTGGACCAAAGAGCTAGTTTGTTATCTTTTGCCTGTCCATAGCAAAGAAGGGAAGGACTCTGGAGCCAGATGACTGGGCTCAAGCCCCATCACCTGTGTTACTTCTGGGCTGTGACCCTGCCACCTAATCTCCCTGTGCCTTCCTTTCCTCATCTGTAAAATGCAGATGAGAATAGTGGCCACCTGACAGGGTTGCCATGGGATGAAAGGAATTCATGCAAGTTAAGTGCTCAGGGAAAAAAAAAAAAAAACAAAACCTGTAGCTTCTGTGAACTAACGTGGAGGGGTTCTTTTCCTATGGGGACCCCTAGAGCTTTGAAAGCAATAGTTTGAGGACACTTTGTAGAACTCAGCATGGGCTAGTCATCCGAGACTCGGTCCCCTTTCCTGGTCTCAGCAGATGTCAGGAAACAGCGTTGTCCCCTTTGTAACAAGTCTTCAGGGTTGAGTTTCTAAAGATTCCCCCAGGTGGGCTGGTTGCAGATTAGCCAGAGCAAGGTCTGTGTTGGTGGCATAGAGATGTAATTCTAGGTAGCCAGGAAGAGGGGGGAGGCAGGTGCTGTCTTACTGTTGGATATTCATCCACTATAGCTTGAGAGTGTCAAATAGGCTGCCGTTGTGCCCTATGGCTCGGTCCCCACCTCATGTGCTTCGGAGAGAAATCACTGTCCCAGACCTCTGTCCTCCCTCCCTGGATGCCACGGTTAACGGTCCAAACATAGCACATGTTGAGTTGGGTAGCTAAGATGCTCATCTCCCCCATAGTGCATGACCTAAGTGTGTGGCAGCCCTAAGGAGCTGCTCCAGAAGAGGACATCAGCCTGCAGTCACTGGGAGAGAGTGAGGGGGATCTGTGCTCTGCCCCCACCACACACAGGCTGGGATGGGTCGCCTGGGCACTCGCACCCCTCTCTGACTCAGTGGGCAGGAAGCAAATGTCAGCTTGGGTCCATTAAGCGACCCTGTCCCAGCACAGCTGACACCCTGGTCCAGAGGGGCCAGCCCCAGCGTGGGGAGTGAGGCAAGGCTCCAAGTGGCCCGCAGCTCCGGGAGCCAGTATGTCCCTTTGTCTGCCAGAGCCTCATCGATGAGCAGCTGAGCCACAAGGAGAAGCTGTATGTCCTGTCCTTCGGTACTGCCACCAGCGCCCTCTGGCCAGACCCCGTGGATGTCAGCACCTCCACGTGAGTGACTACACCTTGGCCAGGGTGCTTGCTTGTTCATTTACCTTCCTGCATGGTAGCATCTTTCTGGAATGAATGCAGTGCAAACCCAAGACCCTGACAGGTGAGTGACTACAAAGAGACAACCCGCAAAGCAGCCACACAGGGATCAGTAACCTTTGGGAAAGCGGCCACTCTTGTGAACAATCCACAAAATGAAAAGACAAGACAACTACAAGGTGCCATTTTTGTCCAGCAAACTAGCAGAGATAGTTTGCTTATTTTGACGATAATACACATTTAAAATTTAACACAGTATGGAGAGGTAAATAATTGCAGAGTCTCTGTCTCACCTCTCAATAACTGTTTCTTCTACATACTTCCACAGCCTGTCACGTACATGCTTCGGTATGTTTGTCCTCTTTTATTTAAACATAAACGGGAAGGCATCACACCATCCTGCACTTTGACTTTGCACTTAATTTGAGTACCATTCTCTCTTAGCACACAGATCTAATTTATTCTTCTTTAATGGCTGCATATTATTCCACTGTATAAATGTACTGTGATTTAACTAGTCCTTTATTTGGAAGCTTCTAGTTTGGGTTTTTTTGGGGGGATTCATGAGGGGGGGCGGGCCAAGGGATGATGTGTAAGAATTTCTACTTTCGGGCAGCCCCGGTGGCGCAGCAGTTTGGCGCCACCTGCAGCCTGAGGTGTGATCCTGGAGACCCTGGATCAAGTCCCACGTGGGGCTCCCTGCATGGAGCCTGCTTCTCCCTCTGCCTGTGTCTCTGCCTCTGTGTGTGTGTGTGTGTGTGTGTGTGTGTATGAATAAATAAATAAAATCTTTAAAAAAAAAAAAGAATTTCTACTTTCTTATGCTAGTAGGTAAAAATTTCTTTCCTGTGAAGAGTATATCCTTGGTTGCCCACCAGGTACTAGGTGCCATGCTAAGCACTTTTCATGTGCTATCTTATTCAATACTTACAACTAGCATATGGAATAGGATTCTTGTCCCCATTTTTCTGATGAAAAAACTGGGACTTGGGTTAGGGCATGTGTCTAGAGTGGCAGAACCAGGATTGGCTACCAAAGCCCAGAGCTGATTCCCGGAAAACCCACGTGTATGTATTTCTGGGATGGAGGTCCCCTTGCCCAGCACTTCTAGCTAAGTTCCAGCAGCACTGGCTCTGCATCCTGCTATGACAGTTACTGGGTGGCTGTGACCAGTCCTCGAACTCTGTTTAGCAGAGTGAGGCCCAGATGCCTACCCCTCACTCAACTACTGTGACCATGAGGTGAGGGATAAGCATCTGGTGTGTGGTGGGGTCCTCAGTGAATGAGAGCAGTTTTAGCTGTGGTTTCTGCTCCAGTTAGACCCCCAATCTCTGGGATGTTTGACCTAGAAGTCACTTTGAGGTCATAGGCAAAAGCTTCTCACTCCTGGAGGCCACTTGTGATTTTGATCATATCTCTGCCACATGTACTATTTTAAAACATTAACTCTCATCTACATGTATTATTTTTTTTCATCTACATGTATTATCGAAGGAAACTATGAATACCTAACAAGAAGCCCGTATCACTTGCCGTAATTAGAATGCAGCCATAACAATAAGTATAATGAAAGCAAATAAAACAATGATCTCAAATTCCAACTTGAAACCCATCGGCTGGAGAAAGTGGTAGCCCTGGGATCTGCTCTCCATGTAGAGGGGAGACTTGACAGTTATCATAATGAAAGACAGACTTACTGGCAATGAGCTAAGATTTTCTTAATTTTATTTTTATTTTTTTCGATCAGATGGAAAGAGAAATGGAAAGAGCAAAACTCCCTCACTGTTAACAATGTGAGGTATTTAACCAAGAAAGCTCTGCGTGAAATAATTTTCCCTCTTAGGCCTGGGGTGTACCCCAGCCCATGCAAGATGCCACCACATGGCCATGGTGCCCCCTCTTGGAGCCCTCTCGGGGCCAGGGGATTAAGTCTGCACTTGGGGGACTTGGTAGTGGCTTGGGGCATACAGAAGGAGCTTAGCTCAGACCTTCTGGTAGCAGAGTGGCTTGAGTCAGGCCTGGTTTGAAATCCCAGTGTTGCCAGCTGCTTACAATATCACCTTGGGCAAGTCCTAACTCAGTTTTGTCATCTATAAAATGGGAATAAAGGTATTCACCTCAAGAATTATGGTGAGTCAGAAACCAGCTCGTGGGTGTTCTGAACCCGGCACCGTGGTTACATGTTTGTCATCTCCTCAGCCTCCAGGAACTCAAGCTCTGGGTGAAGAAGCTGCAACCTGATGGAGGCAGCAATCTGCTACAAGCCCTGAGGAAGATCTTCACCCTGAAAGGGCTGAATTCTCTGGTGACCATAATGGGAAGCTGGTAGGTCTCCTTTCCTATGTGAGTAACAGACCACACAAACGGGGTTGGGGAACCAAACTGGTGTTGGAGAAAAGGCCATCACACAGGACAATTCACACACACTTGAGAGAAGGACTTAGTTCACAGGCCATCTGTCCACGGGTGTTGGGGCAGGGCAGCCAGGGCAGGCCAGGCCTGCAGTCCACTCCACCTTGCATCTTCCACAGGTGGCCAGTTAGATTTGGTAGATGGTCCCGCTTTTCTCTGGAATGTCCTCAAAGTGATTTGACCTGGGGCACCCCCTGTTCTTCTGTCTCCTCTCCAGCCCAGATCAGCCTTCTGAAATTCTGTCCGACTATATCCAACAATCAACCATGGGAATGGGCCTCATCACCCACATCATCACCTACAAATGCAACAATCAGGTGCCCCTTGTAAGTACCTGGGATTCTCCAATGTTTCCTTTGGGTTGGCCATAGTGATCCAGCTGGGCCATCTTGGAGGCTCCATGCATGGACAGGCCCCCTGAAGCTGTGGAACAGAATATGACTCTCCTTTGGGCAGTTGGGAGATTCAGTCAAGGAGAAGGCTTATGGGAGTATTGGCATTGCCCTTGTGAGGGCTGACCCTATCACCATCCCTACAGGCTGTCCTAAAGAACCTTGCAGAACATCTTGGGGGCTACTACCACTGCTACAGCCCAGAAACGGAGGTAAGCCCTTCTGCCAACACACTGCCCCTCCTACCTCCCTGTCTAGGCGACCAGGGCCAGGACAGACCATGCTATCTATGTAAGTACATAGACTCCCTGCCCGCTGTTTTCAATAGGTTTGCACAAGTATAGTCAGTTTAAGATGAAGGTGGGAAGAACAGGGACAGTGTGAAGTCATGGGAGATCCTTTGCTCAGCGTGCATGATGAGTCAATTGCACACTAGAGAGCCTAGAGGCCTTTTAAAGCCTAGCTGGTGGAATCCTGACTCTCTGTCATCAACATGAGCTCCACCCTACCTCTGCTCCCACCAAAGTTGAGTCTGAAACAGTTGCCTCAGGTCTTTCTCCAAGATACATCCTTGCTGTTACAGGGGACCCACAGCAATCAATTCTGAATCAATGATGAATTCTGTAGCCGTCCATCCAGTAGTGTCCTTGTCCCGATTATTTTTTTAATAAATTAATTTTTATTGGTGTTCAATTTATCAACATACAGAATAACACCCAGTGCTCATCCCGACAAGTGTCCCCCTCCGTGCCCGTCACCCATTCACCCCCACCCCCCCTCCTCCCCCTCCACCACCCCTAGTTCATTTCCCAGAGTTAGAAGTCTTTATGTTCTGTCTCCCTTTTTGATATTTCCCACACATTTCCTCTCCCTTCCCTTATATTCCCTTTCACTATTATTCATATTCCCCAAATGAATGAGAACATACACTGTTTGTCCTTCTCCGATTGACTTACTTCACTCAGCATAATACCCTCCAGTTCCATCCACGTTGAAGCAAATGGTGGGTTTGTCGTTTCTAATGGCTGAGTAATATTCCATTGTATACATAAACCACATCTTCTTTATCCATTCATCTTTCGATGGGCACCGAGGCTCCTTCCATAGTTTGGCTACTGTGGACATGGCTGCTAGAAACATCGGGGTGCAGGTGTCCTGGCGTTTCATTGCATCTGAATCTTTGGGGTAAATCCCTAACAGTGCAATTGCTGGGTCGTAGGGCAGGTCTATTTTTAATTCTTTGAGGAACCTCCACACAGTTTTCCAGAGTGGCTGCACCAGTTCACATTCCCACCAACAGTGTAAGAGGGTTCCCTTTTCTCTGCATCCTCTCCAACATTTGTTGTTTCCTGCCTTGTTAATTTTCCCCATTCTCACTGGTGTGAGGCGGTATCTCATTGTGGTTTTGATTTGTATTTCCCTGATGGCAAGTGATGCAGAGTATTTTCTCATGTGCATGTTGGCCATGTCTATGTCTTCCTCTGTGAGATTTCTCTTCATGTCTTTTGCCCATTTCATGATTGGATTGTTTGTTTCTTTGGTGTTGAGTTTAATAAGTTCTTTATAGATTTTGGAAACTAGCCCTTTATCTGATATGTTATTTGCAAATATCTTCTCCCATTCTGTAGGTTGTCTTTGAGTTTTGTTGACTGTATCCTTTGCTGTGCAAAAGCTTCTTATCTTGATGAAGTCCCAATAGTTCATTTTTGCTTTTGTTTCTTTTGCTTTCGTGGATGTATCTTGCAAGAAGTTGCTGTGGCCAAGTTCAAAAAGGGTGTTGCCTGTGTTCTCCTCTAGGATTTTGATGGAATCTTGTCTCACATTTAGATCTTTCATCCATTTTGAGTTTATCTTTGTGTATGGTGCAAGAGAGTGGTCTAGTTTCATTCTTCTGCATGTGGATGTCCAATTTTCCCAGCACCATTTATTGAAGAGACTGTCTTTCTTCCAGTGGATCGTCTTTCCTCCTTTGTCGAATATTAGTTGACCATAAAGTTCAGGGTCCACTTGTCCCGATTAATAATAGCATCACGCACCCTGTGTCCACAATGGAGATAACAATTAGCAAATGTGTGTGTAGAGCCATTTGGCAGATTGAGAATCCAACCATCTGTTCAGCTCACAGGCTGTGTCTTGCCTGAAACCATTAATAGCCATAAGCCAGTGAATATTTGCATCTCACAGTATTCAAGTGTCACAGAATCTACCGTTTCATACCAAGGAGCCAAGGTCAAACAACATTTTCCTTGGTTTACACCCTGTCTGGTTACATCATTTCCCAGACTCTTGTTTGTGGAGGCCACAGATTACAAGGGCTAGGAAAGTACAGTAAATGAATGAAACTAACTGGTTTAAGAAATCTTTTATTTTAGGAGCACCTGGGTGGCTCAGTCAGTTAAGTGTCTGACTCTTGGTTTGGGCTCAGGTCGTGATCTCAGGGTCATGGGATCCAGTGGGGAGTCGGGCTCCCTGCTCAGCCTGGAGTCTGCTTCTCCCCTTCCCTTTCCCTCTGCCCCTCCCCATTCTCATGTGCACCTGCCAAGCACCAACTCTGTCTCTAAACTCTAAAAAAAAAAAGAAAAAGAAAAACAAATCTTTTACCTTAAAACCTGTGCCCATCTTGGCTTCTCTATTGTTTTTCTTGGTAGAAATATAAGTGCAATAAATTTCATTGTCTTATTTTAATATGATCAAGACAATGGCAAAAGGATAACAAAAAACTTAAGCTGACTCAGAGGGGACAGCAGAGAGTGCGTCGGGCTATGGAGGACTAGATAGCGCCTGCCCCTTCTAGGGAGGCACCCCTGCTCAGCCCCAGCCCATTGTTGCTCTGTAGGAGTGTGACCCCCATGCTGCCAGGTCTTCCAATTGTTTGAACCAGAAATCTGGATCTGTGTGTATGTGTGACTTCTGTACTTTCTTTTAAAATGGAGGTGAGGGGCACCTGGGTGACTCAGCAGCTGGGCGTCTGCCTTCGGCTCAGGGCGTGATCCTGGGGTCCTGGGATCGAGTACCCACACCAGGATCCCCACAAGCATCCTGCTTCTCCCTCTGCCTGTGTCTCTGCCTCTCTCTCTGTGTCTCTCATGAATAAATAAATAAAATCTAAAAAAAATAAAAATGAAATGAGGGTGAAATTCACATAACATAAAGTTAACCACTTTATTTTTTTTAAGATTTATTTATTTATTCATGAGAGACACACAGAGAGAGGCAGAGACACAGGCAGAGGGAGAAGCAGACTCCCTGTGGGGAGCCAACGCGGGGACTCGATCCCAGATCCCGGGATCACACCTTGAGCCAAAGGCAGATGCTCAACCACTGAGCTACCCAGGTGTCCCTAATCACTTATCTTTTCTGAGATTTTATTTATTTGACAGGGAGCGAGTGGGAGTCAGGGGGGTGAGGAAGAGGGAGAAGCAGACTCCTCACTGAGCAGGAAGTCAGATGTGGGGCTCTATCTAAGAACCCCTTGATTATGACCCTAGCCAGACTCCCAGTGACTGAGCCACCCAGGCGCCGCCAGCTTTAAAGTGAACCATTAGCAGCACTTAGTACATTCACAAGGTTATGCAACCACCACCTTTATCCAATTCCAAAACATTTTCATCCCCCTAAAAGAAGAATCTGTGCCCATTAAACAGTTACTCCCCATTTCCCCTCCCCCACACTCCTGGAAACCACTGATCTGTCTCTCTGGATTCACCTATTCTGAATATTTCCTATAAATGGAATCATGCACCTTTTGTATCGGTCTTCTTTCCATTAGCATAATGTTTTCAAAGTTCATCTATGTTGTAAGCCTGTCTCTGAGCTTCATTCTTTTTTTACAGTTGATCCATTGTCTAGATCTTTTGTTTGTCCATTCATCAGCTGATGGACACCTGGGCTGTCTCCAGCCTTTGGCCATTGTGAACTGCTATGAATATTGATGCACAAGTACCTGAGTCCCCTTTCTCAATTATTTTGGGTATATACCTACAAGTGGAACTGCTGGGTTAGGTGGTAATTCTGTGTCTAATTCTTTAGTGGTAAAACCGCCAATCTGTTTCCCACCAGTAAAGCACAAGTGTTCCAGGTCTCTGCATCCTGACCAATGCTTGGTATAGTCCTTTTTAAATTATGGCTATAGCCAGTCTAGTGAGTGTAAAATGTTTCTTCATATCTTTAAGGTGAGGATTTTCTTCAGTTATTTAAAAACACTGCAGGCCAATACTGTTTAAATGGAACACAACACGTTCCCAGGCTCTATCTGGCACATGGATGCTAGTTTATAATGTCTAGTTTAACCAACCCACCACTCAGCTTTAGGAAGTGATATGACTGCTTGCCCTTTCCTGTGTTGGCCACAGCTAGTAGCCAAGTGACCTCTAATGACTGATTGCTCCTATTACCCCCAGGTCTACACCAGCTGGGACATGGACCAGCTGCTGGCAGAAATCCAGAAAGCCCAGAGCCTCCTGGGCCACATCCAAGCCTTGCGCCAAAGAACCCCCTGTGAGGAGCTAACCGGCATGATGAAGGAGGTAGGTGGTGTAGGCAAAGATTCTGGAGCTGGCTCACTCCCATCTTCCTTTCCCACCTGTTTCTCTGAGCATATGGTTGCCAAGACCCCCGTGTGTTCACAGAGAAACAAGGCAAAGCCCTGCCCTTCACTGTACCCTGCAGCTCTGGGTGGGCCCTCCCCTGTGCTAGAAGGATTCTGATGGATTTTTTAAAGATTTTATTTATTTATTCCTGAGAGCCACAGAGGGAGAGGCAGAGACGTAGGCAGAGGGAGAAGCAGGCTCCCTATGGGGAGCCCAATGCAGGACTCAGTGGAGGACCCTGGAATCACTACCTGAGCTGAAGGCAGATGCTCTACCACTGAGCCACCCAGGCGTCCCCCTCATGGATTTTCTATCTGAAAAACGTATTTCAGAGAAAGGCCAGCAGGCTCCGGCCACCCCACCCACCTCCCACTGTCCCTGCCCTAACCCCCAGTTTGGAGGATGGAAACCTCACCACACAGAGTGAGCTATCTTGAAGATGGTCTTTGCCATTCAGGGCAAGTGTCCCTGCTGGTGACTTGATTAATATAATGACAGCAAAATAGCTCGGCCAACTCATGGAAGTGGCACCATAAAAGCTGTGAGCTGTTTAGTCCACGCAGAAAACTTAACTGCAGACAGGAGGCACTGAGAATGGATTTATAGCTCCACCAAATGAGGGTGCAGATGGGACAGACAAGATGTCTTGGTCTGGCTGGATGGGGTGGGAGAGCACAGCGCCTAGAAACTGGAACGTTACATTTCAGTCCCAGCTCTTCTACTGAGTATCTGTAAATCACAAAAACTGTAATTTTTTTTAAGATTTTATTTATTTAACAGAGAGAGAGAAAGAGAGCACAAGGAGGCAGAGCACAGAGCGCAGGCAGAGGGAGAGGGAGAAGCAAACCCCCTGCTGAGCAGGGAGCCCACTGTAAGGCTTGATCCCAGGGCCCTGAGATCATCACTGGAGCTGAAGGCAGATGCCCAAGCAACTGAGCCACCCATGCACCCCAACTCTTAGTATTATATTAGAATAGTTCTCATTTACTGAGTGCTCATTCTAAGATAAGCACAATGCTTAATTCTTTAAATGTCTTATTTCAACACAACAGTCTGCTGTAGATATAGTATTACCCCCATTTTACTGCTGAGAAAACTGAAGTCCAAAGGCTAATTTGCCTCAGATCCCAGAGATAGAACAAGTTTGAGCTGAACCCAGGTCTGCCTGATGCCAAAACCTGAGTTTCCCACAGTGCAACGCACATATTACCCACAGTTTGCAAGATAATTACAAGATAATTACAAGTGGATTAGTTTTTTTTCAATGTGCATTTAAAACTAGCTCGTTACAGTAGTAATACACCTATTTTTGTGGTGGGGGGTTTTAAACATTTTATATATTTATTCATGAGAGACGGAGAGAGGGGCAGAGACATAGGCAGAGGGAGAAGCAGGCTCCCTGTGGAGAGCCCGATGTGGGACACGATCCCAAGAACCCAGGATTGTGACCTGAGCCAAAGGCAGACGCCCAACCATTGAGCCACCCAGGTGCCCCAGTACATCTTCTTTCTAAAATTATTTAAGTACAATAAAGGGAGTCAATTTTTAAAATTAAATCAAATTAACAAAAAGTTTTAAAGGTACATATTGGGTTTGTTTTCTTTTTTTAAGATTTTATTTATTTATTTATTTTTAAAGATTTATTTACATATTGAAAGAGAGAGTGTTGGGGACAGGGGCAGAAGGAGAAGGAGAGAATCTTAAGCAGGCTTCATACCCAGCACAGAGCTCATGTGGGGCTCAATCTCACAACCCCAAGATGACCTGAGCCAAAATCAAGATTTGAATGCTTAACTGACTGAGCCACCCAGGTGCCCCTAAGGATTTTATTTGTTTAAGTAATCTCTACACCCAACATGGGCCTTGAACTCACAACTCCCAGTTCAAGAGTCACATGCTCCACCAACTGAGCCAGCCAGACACCCTCATATTTGATTTATTTTTAAAAAATTTTAGGGGTGCCTGGCTGGCTCAGTCAGTGGAGCATGCAACTCCTGATCTCAGGGTTTTGTAATGTAGAGATTACTTAAAAGTAAAATCTTTAAGGGCACTTGGGTAACTCAGTCAATTGAGCATCTGGCTCTTGATTTGGGGTTCAGGTCATGATCTCAGGGTTGTGGGATCAGGCCCCGAGTTGAGCTCCATGCTCAGCATGGAGTCCACTTGTCCCTCTCCCTCTGCTTCTCTGCTCTCTACCACATAAATAAATCATTAAAAATAAAAAAGTAAATTTTTTTTTAAAAAATCTAAATAACAGCACAGTGGTACTCAGATACAGCATAATTCTTGAAGGCAGTACTCAGATGTCTAAAGTTTGGGGATTGCTGTTCTGTGTCTTATTTATACAGGAGTTATGACTTAACATCTCAGAACATAAGGCTTTCAGTCTATAAATGTGTGCAAGGGGAGGCCAGGCTAGACCAGGGCTCCTGAAATGATCTGGTGTAGGAGTTACTTTTTACTTCTTCGAAGCCTTGCATTAGGAGCTCATGGAGGGGCCACCCGCCATCTTGGAGCCTACCGTGTCAATCTTGATGGTAAGGGTTGGGGAAGGGGCCAGGAAGACAGACAAATCAAAGAGGAAGCAAGTTGCTGGGGACATCTACTTCTTTCCCTGGAAATTCCAGCCATCTCCAGAGAAGGGGATGGGGCTGGTTGGAGGAGAAGATAGAACTGCCTTTAATTTATCAGGTAATGTTTTCAGATGCTCCACTTAGTGGAACTGGGTGGGACGGGGAGACTAAGGACTTATTGGTTCTAAAATATGATTTTGTAATGAGGGCTTTTAAATTTAATTTAGATTTCCACAGAGATTTCAAAAGGGCCACTCACAGGTCTCTTGCCTAAACCCCCAAAGCATGAGGGTCCCCTCACAATTGAGTTCCCAAACTTGGACAAGACTTCTGCAGAATGGCTAAAGATCAATGGCCTAAAAGGTAAGTCCCTAAAAGAGGGCAGACCCCAGGATTCAGGTGACTGATGAAAAGGCACGAGCCCTCTGGGGCTTCCAGAGTTGCATCTTAAGTCCCACCCTTTATTTACAGCCAGGAAGCTAAGCCTTTATCAGGTTCTGGCACCCAACGCATTCTCTTCTGTGGAGGAATTTGTGCCTATTCTCCAGAAAACAGTATCTTCCACTATCCATGAGGTAACTCCAACTCAGAGTTCTCTCCATTCCTCTGCAGGGGGGCTCCTCTGTGGCAGTTCCCTTCTTAAATGTTCAGGAAATAAGAATCATAAGTCAGAGCACAAGGAGCAGAGGTCTGGGGTCCTGGGGTGGGATGCAGGCTTTCCACCCAGGACTCTAAAACTCTCAACAGATATACCCCAACTACTGTTTTGCAAAGATTTGAAAATGAGCTCTGGGAGATGGGGCGAGAGTGAGCACGTCAAGTTCTGCAGTCACCTCCTCTGCGAGGATTGTCTGGCAGGCATGCAGAACACACATGCTCTCATCATGTCCTCACTGTACCTGGCAGACACTTCTGCTCTAGCTCCTCCTGTAATGTGTTAGCATGTGCCCCTGGTGCATGCCTACACCTCTGCCAGAGTAGGAGCCTTTAAAAGAACAAACCGCCCTTCCCCAATCTCATATCCCCAATATCTAACACATGCAAGCAGCTGGTGCATATTCCCTGGACAGCTGCCTGGTGGAAGGAAGGATGGAAACGTGAACATATAGAAGTATGAATAGAAGAGGATGGAAGGGTAGAGAAATAGAAGGAAGGTATAATAGGTGAAGAGGAAGAAGTTCAATGGAAATATGGAAGAACTAAAGAGAAGAGGGATAGAGAATTGTAGCAGCAGATTGATGAGTGAGTAGGTGGGTGGATGTGACAACTTGGCGAAGGATGAAAAATTAGATTTTCAAAGTGTCCTTGGAGGCTTGTCTGGGTTCCCAACCCTAAGAACCCCTGGCCAGTGTGTTTTAAGGTCTCCAATGCTGCTACCTCAAACCCTCCAACCATGTCTTGTATTAAGACTCTGATGTTTGGAAGACTCCCCCACCCACCCCCACCCCCAGAAGGCAGCCTGGCTTGCTGTCAGGTGTGGTGCACTCAGGGATCACTGTCCTGAACCTTCTGCTGCTGAACCAGGGAGGCATAATCCAGCCCCAGATGTGCTCAAAGCCCGTTTCCCTCTCACACATCTGATTGGGAGAAACCCGGTGCCCAAGTTAAACTTAAAATCATTTCCCGCATGTGCTCTGTTCACCTGCTGCCCATCCTGGCCACATCTGTGTGCAGAAGGCAATGGTACAGTTTGAATGGCATGACGGGACAGTGAAGAATGTTCACGTGGACCCGCCCTTCCTCTATGAGTACCAGGTTAGTAATGGGTCCAATTGGTCAGAATATGGGGTCTGGCAGGCGGGGAGTGAGGGGGGCACCTGGGTGGCTCAATTGGTTAAGTGTCTGCCTTCGGCTCAGGTCATGATCCTGGAATCGAGCCCCCATTTGGGCTTCCTGCTCAACTGGGAGTCTGCTTATCCCTCTCCCTCTGCCCTTCCCCCCTGCTCATTCCCTCTCTCTCTCTCTCTCTCTCTCTCTCTCTCTCTCTTTCTCTCTCCCCACCCCCCACAAATAAATAAATAAAATCCTTTAAAAAAGAAAAGAATATGGGGTTTGGGAAGAGAGGACAGGAGGAAGGTGCCGTGGAATGTGGAGACCAAGCCATTGACTGAACTCCCTCTTATAAATAGACTGTGCTCTGCCTCTAGGTACCTCTGGAGCTTCCTCTACCTGCTCTCCAGGCAGGGACCTGTCAAACAGACAAAAGTTTCTAACCTATTGGGGCAAGATCTACTCCCTCTCCTATTCCAGACAATGAAATATGTGGACTCTTCTCTTCCTGGTCTTGTGGCAGACTCATCATCAGTGGAATGTTTATACTGCTGGGATATCCATGTCCCCACCCCCAGAAGCCAACCTCCCCCTACAGACCCTTTAACTGGACATCCTTTGGTCAGTCTCTCACTCTGTGTGGCCCATGGGTTTGCAGAAACAGCTCAGCAGAGCTATGCGGATGTATGAGAGACGGATTGAGTGGCTCTCTTTGGCCAGCCGAAGAATCTGGGGCACCGTCTGTGAAAAAAGGTACCTTCCCTCAAGTAGTATTGTTGTCCTTTTTGAGACCCCCTTTGTGACCTAAGCACTTACCCAACTCATGATTCCCTGTTGGTAGCATCAGAAACTATCCCTTAGGGATCCCTGGGTGGCGCAGCGGTTTGGCGCCTGCCTTTGGCCCAGGGCGCGATCCTGGAGACGCGGGATCGAATCCCACGTCGGGCTCCCAGCGCATGGAGCCTGCTTCTCCCTCTGCCTGTGTCTCTGCCTCTCTCTCTCTCTCTCTCTGTGTGTGTGTGTGACTATCATAAATAAAAAAAAAAAGAAAGAAACTATCCCTTATATTCAGGATCAATGGTCACTCAGTAGAACCCCTGCAGAAAAAAGTTGCCACTACCAGCATCACTATCAATACTATCATCATTGTGTTACTCAGGATTCTTTCAGTTAAAAAGCAACATAAAATAAATGCCAATTGGCTTAAACAAAACAAGGAGGTCTGGTTGAAGGTAACTGAAAATTCTAAAATAGATCTGATAGCTGTCTTCAGGCATGGCTCCATCCAGGGGTTCATGCATGTCAAGAATCTATCTCCATCTCTCAGCTCTACTTCCTTCCCTGTTGGCTTTGTTGTCAGGCAGGCTTTCCCTTCCAGGAATAGCCACCTGCAGCTCCCCACTTACTCTACCAATGTAGCATTCCTGGGGCTTGAGGCAGGGCCTGTCCAGGAGCTATTCACTGTGGCCTGGGAGGTAGGATGTTCTAATTGCCTAATGTCAAATGCCCACCCTTCAAGCTTAGGGTGGGTCTGTCCCACTCACTTGATAGAAGCAGAGGAGTTTTCCAAAGGAAAATCAGGATGCTGCTGTGGGGGGAGGTGATGGATGCTGAACAGGGAGAAAAAACTGGCAGTGTTTATAACATCATTACCATCCCATACCTTATTGGATGCATTACCACTTACAAAGTACCATACTATTCTATCATTTAATTCTCAAGGAAGGAATCTTATTATAAATAGTTCATAGTTAAATACAGCAAGGATCAGAGAGGTTTTGTGACTTGCCTAAGTCACATAGGAAGTGGGACCTGAAACAAGATCTTCTGACGCTAAATCCAGTGGATTTTCTTTTGCATCTGTAATTGTCATCTTGTGCTCGCTTTGGCAGCACATTCACTAAAAAAATAAAAATAAAGAAATGGAACCCCATAATTGCTATCTCAAAATGAGAGTGGAGAGTGGAGTTAGGAATTGATTTGAAGTAGTGAAAGAAGGCCAAATGGACAGAGAGAAGAAACAAAAAGATACACTTATTTCCCTAGAAGCCCCAATACACCTAAGTCCCCATCTCATTTGCTTACTTGTTTCTGTTTCCCCTACCAAGACCCCAACCTATAATAATATCGAATGTCAATGCTTTAAAACAGGGAAATGTGTGAAAATCATTCTAGGCAGCCCCCCTGCCCTGTAAACCATCTCTACCATCAGCTTTACTTCATGTTAGAAGCCCCTGGGAGAGAAACTTCCAAGACCCCCTTAGTCTACTATTGTAAACCCACTCCCATTGACCTCACTCCCTGGAGAAAGATTTTGGCCAGCTGTGAATTTGGCATGCAAAATTCCTCTGGAAAAAGCTTTAAATAGTAAAATGGAACAAAATAAACATTATCTGAGTGATTCGGTTCTCTTCTTAAAGCTTGTGTTTCTTTTTAGAGTGGTTATACTGCTGGATATCTCTGTGACCAATTCCATGTACATTATTCATATCCAGCACTCCCTGCGGCTTCTGCTGGAAGAACAGTTGTCCAACAAGGACTGCTTCAACATCATCGCGTAAGTTCCTAGTTCCCCCTGAGGCAGGGGATGCTGGGGCCAGGGGTCGCGTGTGCTCAGTGTTGCCACTGGGCTAACATTCCTGGCAGGTGGCTAGATGACATGTCACCAGCACCTAGCATGCTATGCTGACCATCAGTTTATCTGGTTTGAATCATCTTGTTTGGGGTATTGAATAATTAAATGGTGGCAAGACAGTCCCACTGGGGCGAAGGTGATAAGTGGCCCCAAAACACAGTGCTTGATCAACCAAGATAAAGTAACTTAGCCCATTGCCCCATTTGGATTCCAAGCTGATAAACAGCAAAAGAGAGAAAGAAGGGCCCCCAGGCATGCCCCAGTGTTAGGTCCCAATTCGGGTCTAGCAAGCCACACTATGTCAAGAACATTGAAGATTCTAATTCCAAATGTTAATTATATAGATTTATATATATAACTATATATATTTGAATTATGTGTAACTATATAATTTATATAAATTATGTGTATTTAAATTCTATATTTCACAGATAAATAATTTGATACATAGGTATAAAACAAATATTGTGTATAGAATATATATTTTTAAAATTATGTACAACTGGGGCATCTGGATGGCTCAGTCAGTAGTACATGCAACTCTGGATCTCAGGGTTGTGAGTTTGAGCCCCACCTTGGATGTAGAGATTACTGAAAAATAAAATCTTTTAAAAAATTATATATAACTATATATATTTAAATTATACATAACTATATACCATATATTTAAATTATGTACTATATGTAATCCATACAGTTACATTTAATTTAAACATATATAGTTTTATATATTTATTATAATTGCATAACTTTTCCACTAATTAAGAGAGAAAAGGAACCCACTTGAACAATTTTTTTTTAAAGATTGATCTATTTATTTTAGAGAGTGAGTACAAATAGGAGGGACAGAGGCAGAGGGAGAGGGAAAGGGAATCTCAAGCAGACTCCCTGCTGAGCACAGAGCCAGACATGGGGCTTGAGCTCATGACCCCAAGATCACGACCTGAGCCAAAGCCAAGAGTCAGACACTCAACCAACTGTGTCACCATGTGCCCCAGACTATACATTTTTATACCACTTCATATCAAATAGGGAATATTCTAAACCTATTAAGTCAGCATTCATATTATATATTATTCTGTACCAGAGCCTCATCTTTTTCTAATACATTCTACCAAAAAAAAATGCCTAGAGAAATACTTTAGGCAATGTTTTCATTAATTTATCCAACCATTAATTCATTCAACAGACTTTTATTGAAAGCCTGCCATGTACAAATTGCTGCGCTAAGCACTGGGGAATATGGAAGTGAATACATATAATACCCGTCCTCAGGGAACTTGGGATCTACTAGAGGGAGACAGGCATGTTAAGAAATAAGTGTGATTAACTGATTTCTACAGAAAGAGGTAGAAGGCAGGATCAGACCATCCTACCTGAACACAGGAGATCAGGAAATCTTCACAGGGTCACCTGAGTGCTCAGTTGGTTAAATGTCCAACTCTTGGTTTCAGGTCAAGCTATAATCACAGGGTTGTGACATCAAGCCCCACATCGTGTTCCAAACTGGATATGGAGCCTACTTAAGATTCTCTCCCTCTGTCTCACTCTGTCTCTCCCCCTTGGTCCCTCTCCCTGCACTCATGCTTTCTCTCACTTTCAAATAAGCAAATAGGGAATCCCTGGGTGGCTCCAAGGGATTGGTGCCTGCCTTTGGCCTGGGGTGTGATCCTGGAGTCCCGGGATCGAGTCCCACAATGGGCTCCTGGCATGGAGCCTGCTTCTCCCTCTGCCTGTGACTCTGCCTCTCTCTCTCTCTCTCTCTCTCTCTCTCTCTCTCTCTCTCTCTGTGTGTGTGTGTGTGTATCATGAATAAATAAATCTTTTTAAAAATCTCTTAAAAATAAGTAAATAAAACTAAAAAGAAAAGAAAATCTTCACAGAGGAGGTGATCCTTTTGCTGAGTCTTGCTAAATGAGTAGGTGTTTGCCCAGAACATGGAAATGATGAGGGCAGCAGGGAGGAAAGACATTTTCAGTAAAGGAAGCAACAGGAAACTTAGAGGTGTTGTAATTATGAGACATAGACTGTGGGGTCACAGACTATAGAATTTTGGGAGCATCAGGGAATTCAATAGGTTATAGGGAGAGAAAGAGAAATTGTGCATGACAAAATAAAACAGATGATGGAGGGTATATATATATGTATATATATATATACACATATATATATGATATGCTCAGGAGCTTTTATACTATAGGACATATAGGCATTAGAGGATTTTAAGCAAGGTAATAAGATGATCAGATATTGAATGCTCAAGTCACAGTGTGAAGGATGTTTTGAAGTGATGTGATGCTGGAGGGATGGAAGCCATTTGGATGGCTACAGTGGTCTGTCTAGTGTGAAGTAGGCTTGAGCCATGGCCATGGGGATGAAAGAAGGGATGCATGTGAGAGGCTATAGAGTTAGAATCTACAAAATGAGTTATTATTTGGCTATAGGATATGAGAATGGTGAAAAGAAGATGTCCCAGATGGAGCAGATCTTGGAAGTAGAAGGTAGTTTTAATCATGTAGAATTGGAGATTGTCAAGTGGAGATGTCCTCGTAGGGACTCCAGTGAGGAGTTCTAGCCAGGAAATACAGGTTTGCGAACCATCAGAGTTCTGGTTACATGGTTGAAAAAATGGAATTAAAAAAAAAAAAGAGAAAACACAGAAGTGCATGAAGACACCTGTGAAGACATGAAGGGTAGAGAAGACAACCAAAGACACAACTGGTGAGGCATTGATGTTTGGAGGGCGGGCAGAGGCACACAGGAGAGGAGCAGCCAGAGAGGTAGGAGGAAAATGAGGAGAGGATGATATTGAGAAGACACATCTCAGAAAGAAAGAGTTTGATCCTGCAGAAGCAAGCAGGAATGGGAAGAATAAAGGAATCCACTGAATTTGGCAGTAGAGCTCACTGACAACAAAACAATGAGATATAATTTTTTTTTTTGCAATTCAGTTTGGCAACCAAATATTTAAAAGATTCAAAATAATAATAATGCCCAGTGCTGGTGATGATGTGATGGAAAGGGCACTCTTGAAAACTGTCTATAGAAGTGTAATTTGGTATAGCCCTTGTATTAAATTTTTAAGTGTATATTTTTCATTCCTTCAATTAAACCTTTATATATTACCTGAAGGAAATACAAAGATCAGTGTGCATAGATAACTAGGCAGGAGTTCTAATAGTAGATAAACCCGGGAACAAACTGCATGATCATTGGCAAAATGGGTAAAACAATCCTGACAGTGCAACTATTCAAAAGAATGAGGGAGATTTACATGTTTGCATTTAGAAAAATGTCTTCAGGGATCCCTGGGTGGCTCGGTGGTTTAGCGCCTGCCTTTGGCCCAGGGCACGATCCTGGAGTCCCGGGATCAGGTCTTGCGTCGGGCTCCTTGCATGAAGCCTGCTTCTCCCTCCTCCTGTGTCTCTGCCTCTCTCTCTCTCATTCTATGTCTATCATTAAAAAAAAAAAAATGTGACTATTCCAGATTAAAAAAAAAAAAGAAAAATGTCCTCAGTAAATCCCAAGGAAACAAGCAAGTTACAAAGAATATGAACTATAATATTCTATTTCTACTTATGCTTTTTTAAATATAGTTGACATGATGTTACATTAGTTTCAGGTGTATACAACTTAGTGATTTGACAAGTTTTATGTTTTTTTAATTTTTGTTTATTTATTATTTTTGAAAGATTTTATTTCTTTTTAAGTAATCATTACACCCAATGTGGAGCTGCAATTCACAACCCTGACATCAAGAGTCATATGCTCTGGGGTGCCTGGGTGGCTCAGTCTGTTAAGTATCTGACTCTTGATTTCAGCTCAGGTCATGATCTCAGTGTCGGGAGACTGAGCCCCGTGTGGGGCTCCATGCTCCATGCAGAGTCGATTCAGATTCTTTCCCTCTCTTTCTGCCCCCCACCTCCACACACACACACTCTCTCTCTCTTTAAAAAAAAAAAAATATATATATATATATATTATTCATTTGAGAGAGAGAGCGCATGAGCAGAGCAGGGAGGTGAGAGGCAGAGAGAGAAGCAGAGACTCCCTGCTGAGCAGGGAGCCTAATGTGGGTCTCAATTTCAGGACCCAGAGATCATGACCTGAGCTGAAGACAAACACTTAACCATCTTAGGCACCCAGATGTCCCCTCTCTCTGTCTCTTAAGAAAAAAAAAAAAGAGTCCCATACTCTCCCAACTGAGCCAACCAGGTGCCCTTTTGCTTCTTATTTTTTTAATCCAAAGGAACATAGAGTATAGAGTTCACAGAACTTTTTCTGGGGAATAAAATGGGAGGAATTTTCATTCTCTGGATATTGTTAGAATTTTTATCAAACAGTAATAGAAGATTTATTATCCAACTACAATAGATATTTTCATGAAAGGGGGAAGTAGGTCACTGTTAATATTTGCCAGAGAACCTACCAGAAGCTTGACTGCAGTGAGCTTCAGAATAAGGAGAAGCTGAAGTGGTTAAGACATTATTTTCCAGGGAGCTGGTTCATACACAGGAAGGAGAAGTGGCTAATGGAGTGGGCCCTGTTAGAAAGAGGAAGTTCTTTTTAAGAATGGACAGACTCAGGGATCCCTGGGTGGCTCAGCAGTTTAGTGCCTGCTTTGGGCCCAGGGCGTGATCCTGGAGTCCCAGGACCGAGTCCTACATCGGCTCCCTGCATGGAGCCTGCTTCTCCCTTTGCCTGTGTCTCTGCCTCTCTCTCTCTCTCTCTCTCTCTCTCTCTCTGTGTGTGTGTGTGTGTGTGTGTCTAATGAATAAATAAACAAAATCTTAAAAAAAAAAAGAATGGACAGACTCAAACATGTGCAGAGACAGTGGGGCAGAGGAAAATAGAGTGAGGTAGGGGATGTGTGGGGGAGGGAGCTATATGTGGGCAGGGTCTCAGAAGACCAGGTAAAGGAATTAACCTTGATCCAGAGAAGGGACACCTTTTTCTTGATAAAGGAGATCAGCCTTTTCCCAAAGATTTAAATTCTGTTTCATAGGAAAATGAGATGATGCTTTTTTTAAAATTAAAAACCATATGGGGGCATCCCGAGTGGCTCAGCGGTTTAGCACCGCCTTCAGCCCAGGGTGTGATCCTGGACTCCAGGATCAAGTCCCACTTCGGGCTCCCTGCATGGAGCCTGCTTTTCCCTCTGCCTGTGTCTCTGCCTCTCTCTCTCTCTCTCTCTCTCTCTCTCTCTCTCTCTCTCTCTCTCATGAATAGATAAATAAAAATATTAAAAAAAAAAAACCATAGGGGTGCCTGGGTGGCTCAGTCAGTTAAGTGTCTGCCTTCAGCTCAGGTCATGATCTCAGGGTCCTGGGATTGAGCCCCTGCATCGGGCTCCCTGCTCAGCATGGAGTCTGCTCCCTCTGCCCCTCCCCACACAGCTCAAGCTCTCACTCTCTCAAATAAATAAATAAAATCTTTTAAAAAAAACCTAAATAAATAAAATCTTTAAAAGACTATAGTACACATTTGGGGAATATAAAAATTAGTGAAAGGGAATAAAGGGGAAAGGAGAAAAATGAGTGGGAAATATCAGAAAGGGAGACAGAACATGAGAGACTCCTAACTCTGGGAAACGAACAAGGGGTGGTAGAAAGGGAGGTGGGCGGGGGGGTGGGGGTGACTGGGTGACGGGCACTGAGGGGGGCACTTGACGGGATGAGCACTGGATGTTATTCTATATGTTGGCAAATTGAACACCAATAAAAAATAAATTTATATATTAAAAAAAAAGACTATAGTACAGACTGAGTGAAAAAGGTCATTTGCGGGGTCGAATTGGTTCTAGGGGAATTTAAAATGGGGCAATGACTCCCTCCTTTGAGGGGTGGGGAAGTCAGAAAAGAAGTCTGGCCAGAGCAGCTCCTGGCTCTGAGTTATGACTGAAACCTCCCTCCCACGCCCCCCGCTCTGCTCACACAGGAAATTTTTCCCCACTCCTTTTTTTTCAATATTTTATTTTTATTTATTTATTCATGAGACACACACACACACACACACAGAGAGAGAGAGAGAGAGAGAGAGGGGCAGAGACACAGGCAGAGGGAGGAGCAGGCTCCATGCAGGAAGCCAGATGTGGGACTCGATCCTGGAACCCCAGGATCAAGCCCTGGGCAGAAGGGAGGCGCCCAACCACTGAGCCACCCAGGCAAGGAAATCTTATGACTGGCCCTGGCCAGAAACATCCTAACATTTTTGGGTACAGTCAGACTATTACCCCTCTAAAAGCCCGGAGGGCCCAAAGACCCGGGGTATAGAGTGAATATATCTCCTGCTTAATAACACACCTGCTCTCCTTCCCTCCAAAGGTTTGGAAGCACAATTGAAAGCTGGAGGTCCGAGATGGTTGCCGTGAGCCATGAAAACTTACAAAGCGCCTGGCGGTAGGTGACCATCAAAGACTGCACCTGCTGGGTCTGGGGTCAGCCTCTGTGGTGCCGTTTGCTCTGTTGCTCTCTCCAGCAGAATCCCTGCCCTCCTGCTCCGGAGCCTTGTGGCTGGTCTCCCTCAGTTGAGCCTCCTTCCCTCCCAGGTGGGCCCTGACTTTGCAGTGTCGGGGCAGCAGGAATGTCCTCAGCGCCCTGCGGAAGGCTGTGGAAGTGGACTTCAAGGACAAAGACAAACACCAGTCACAGGGCATCTACCTCTTCACAGGGGGCATCCCTGACCAGGACATGGTGAGTGGGCATTGTCCTGGGCATCCTTTATGAGCCTGCATCTTCCTCTCGGTGGGTGCCTAACAACTGGTTTCTCCAGTATGACTTCCCAAACTTGACTATAATGGGCAGAAGAATTACCTGGGGGCGTTGCTAAAATGCAGATCATGTTACTGAAGGTCTGGCCTGGGACCTGAGAGCCTGCCTTCCTAGCAAGCTCCCAGGAGATGTCCATGCTTCTGGTCCCCTGACCACACTCGGCATGAGTGGGCTCTCGGGTCCATTCCCAGGCCATACCCTATTAAGACAGAGAAGCTGAGCCCAAGCTCAGTTATCTTTCTATCCTCACACCAAGTAGTAGACCAGGTAGGTGCCCAGTAGGCTCTTTAGAAAGAGGGTTTGGTTCAGCTGACCTGAGAGCAGCCACTCCAGGAGCTGTCAGCTGTGAGGCCCTCCTGCCCTCTCTTCCCCCACAGCCCATGCTCAGCGCCTACATGACCGAGGCCTGTGGGGGCTGCGACCTCCACTTGAACGTGTGTCTCTTCTACGTGGGTGAGCCCCAGATGGACATCACGCCCCCTGCCTGCTATGCCAGCTGCACAGACACAGCCGCCGCCTACCGGGAGGTCACCCAGGCTACTGCTGGGCGCTTCCACTGGTTTGGTGACACAGGTGTGTGAGGGTTGGCAGACCCCTTCACTTCCTTCCTTCTAGAAAGTTGTCTCAGTACCAACATAGTTCCCTGTGCCATAGATGTGTTCCAGAAAAGGAGCATGTGAAAAATCCCATTTGGAAATACAGAATTCCTATTCTGGAGATGGATGGTGGTGAGGGCTCCACAATGCTGTGAATGTACTTAATGCCACTGAATTGGATACTTCAAACATGGTTCAAGTGGGGGGTGTCTGGGTGGCTCAGTCAGTTAAGCATCCGACTCTTGGTTTCACCTCAGGTCCTGATCTCAGGGTTGTGAGATAGAGCCCCACATTGGCTCCATGCTCAGCACAAAGCCTGCTTGAGATTCTCTCTCCCTCTTCCTCTGCCCCTCCTGCTCGCTCTCTCTCTCTCTCAAATAAATAAATCTTAGAAAAAAGAAAACATGTTTCAAATGGTACACACTTTATATAAAGTATATTTTACTGCGATTTTTTTAAGTAAAAAAGAAAAAAAGTAAACCTACTAAAAATATTTATTTAAGTGAGCACTATGCCCAATGTAGGGATTCAGCTCACAACCCCGAGATTAAGGGTGGCCCACTCTATGGACTGAGCCAGGCAGGTGCCCTGACTTAAAAATATTTCAGAATGTCGCAGCTGGAAGGGGGCCGAAGGGTCTCTTCAGGAATATAGCGTTTCCCAAAAGGTGATACGTTCACAATTAGAAGGTGGTGGGGATCCCTGGGTGGCTCAGCGGTTTAGCGCCTGCCTTTAGCCCAGGGCGCGATCCTGGAGTCCCGGGATCGAGTCCCACATCGGGCTCCCGGCATGGAGCCTGCTTCTCCCTCCTCCTGTATCCCTGCCTCTCTCTCTCTATCATAAATAAATAAATCTTTTTTTAAAAAAAAAATAAGAAGGTGGCAAGATGGGTGAAGGTGGAATGCAGAGCAATAGTTTCTCTTGTTGTGATAGTTAGGGATCAGAACATGCCACCCCAAAGTTTGCCACATATCCACTGTGGCATATGGATTATTTTGAGCTGAAGATAGCTAAGAAACAGTGAAGGAGTTCTCTGCCCCTTCCCACCCTCACTTGCCTAAAAGCAGGAATACGTTTCCATCTCAGGTGTCTCCCTCTCCTGTGCCAGGAAGAGGAGAGAAGCACTGGATACAACAAATCTTACAAAAATGACACTTCTCTTCCCTCAGTTCCCTCCCCATATTTGCCTTCCCACAGTCTGCAGCTCCTACAAGCCTAACCCCCTTCCCTTTGTCTTGTCCTTGTCACTTCCTTACAGATGAACTGTCCTTGGTTAAGACACCAGCATAGGCCTCTGAGTTCCAATCATGCGCTCTGAGTTACTGCCTTCCTCCTTTCTGTGTACATGCTGTACATGTTAAAAAGACTTTTCCTTGTTTTTGTTAATCTGTCTTTGTCAGTTTAAATCCTTTCTTTTTTTAAAAGATTTTTTAATTTATTTATTCATGAGAGACACACAGAGGGGCAGAGACATAGGCAGAGGGAGACGTAGGCTCCATGTAGGGAGCCTGATGTGGGACTTGATCCCAGGACCCCGGGATCACGCTCTGAGCCAAAGGCAGAGGCTCAACTACTGAGCCACCCAGGTGCCCCATCAGTTTAATTCTTTAATCCTCCCAGCTGGAGAAATCTAAGAGAATAGAGGGAAAAAAATGGTTTTTTTTTCCTCCCCTAAGAAGTTATTTGCTTATTTTAACATTTCATTAAAAAGTGCTAACTTTGGAGCATGTGGGTGGCTCTACTGATTAAGCAACCAATTCTTCAGGTCGGGTCATGATCTTGGAGTCATGAAATTGAGTCCCAGGTCAGGCTCCTAGCATGGAGCCTGCCTAAGATTCTCCCCCTCCTTCTGCCCCTCCCCCTCTCTAAAATAAGAAATACATAAATCTTTAAAAAAAGAAAGTGCTAACTTTCTGGGGAGCCCAGCTAGCTCCACTGACTGATCTTAGAATCATGAGTCCAAGCCCCAGATTGGCCCTAGAGCTGACTTAAATATAAATAAAAGTTTTTTTCTTAAAAAAAGGAAAATTGCTTTTTAAAATTAATTTATTTTAAAAATTAATTTATTTTAAAAATGTTTTATTTATTTGTTTGTTTGTTTGTTTATAGTAAGCTCTATGCCCAACATGGAGCCCAATGCAGGACTTGAATTCATGACCTTGACATCAAGACCTGAGCTGAGGTCAAGAGTCAGATGCTGGGCAGCCCTGGTGGCCCAGTGGTTTAGCGCCGCCTTCAACCCAAGGTGTGATCCTGGAGACCCTGGATCGAGTCCCATGTCAGGCTCCCTTCATGGAGCCTACTTCTCCCTCTGCCTGTGTCTGCCTCTCTCTCTGTGTGTCTGTCATGAGTAAATAAATAAAACCTTTTTAAAAAAAAAAAAGTCCAATGCTTAGCTAACTGAGCAACCCAGGCACCCTTAAGTTTTATTTTTTAAAATATGCTTTTAAGTATGTTAGATGGACATTATAGTGATCATTTCATAATACACACAAATATCCAATCTTTATGTTGTATACATGAAACTAACATATGTCAATAATATATATATATGCTTCTAAGTAAATAAAAGTAAATTAATAAAATACATATATATATATTTTAAGATTTTATTTATTTATTCATGTGAGACACAGAAAGAGAGGCGGAGACATAGGCAGAGGGAGGACGCCTGATGCAGGACTCAATCCCAGGATCCTGGGATCATGATCTGAACCAAAGGCAGATGCTCAACCACTAAGCCACCCAGGTGCCCCTGATAAAATGTATATTAAGGAGACAATGGTTTGGGTGGTATGAAGATAAGGGGAAATCATGACAGGGATACAGGAGTGACTGAGGCTCAGGACATACTAGTACATTCCACCCTCTCCAATATATGAATGAAGAAATGACTCTCAGGGACATGCATTACCTATGGTTACATAGTTAGTGGCATAGCTGGGGCTGGAACTCTGGGGCCGTTTCCCACATCCTGTGAAAAGTACTGGACATATACATTTGTTATTATTAGTGATTATTACTAATAATAGCACATGCTTCTATAACAGTTATTATATTGCCAGACATGGTTCCAAGTATTTTACATATATTATTATTCATTCCTCACAATAACCCTATGAAGTGGGTTACTATTATCCCCATTCTACAGATGGGAAAGCTGGGACATAGAGCCCAAAAGCCCAGAAGTAATAAGTGGTAGAACCAGGAGAGCAACTTCATAGGCTGTCTTCTTAGTCATTACACTCCAATCCCTCTCAAATAAGTCACCAATATTCATTACAGACACATTACATTACATTTTTCCTCCCCTAAGGAAAAGGTGGGTCTTTTTATTCACCAGAATATCAGGACCATTGCTCCTACCTAACCTACCCTTCCTCTGGGTGAGAGCAGTTGGTTGGGTGCAGGGTGCTGGGTCCCAGGGCCAGCCCTCCTGCTGAGAGCCTCACCATACCTGCCCATCCCCTTCACCGCTGGATGGCGTAGGGGTGGGGGCTAGTCAGCTCAGCCCACTGGGATCCCTCCCTGCCCCTCAGGCTCAGGGCACCTTCACACAGCCCTGGTGTGTACAAATATGGACACTTGCCAGGATCTACACCCCTTCTCCATGCTCACAATGTGCTTTGTGTCTAGGTATTTACGAAAGCGATGACATTAATGCCATCATGTCTGAGATGGAAAAAGCGCTCAACTACTCGCAGAAGGTATGGCTTAGGTGTGGGGCGAATGACCACACTTTTGTTGTAGTGACTTGGGGCTGATATGTGAAGTACCACAAACCAGGTGGCTTAAAGCATCAGACATTTATCCTCTTAGTTTCAGAGGCTGGAATTCTGAACTCAAGGTCTCAGAGAGGCCATGCTCGTTCTGAGGGCTCTGGGTAGAGTCCCTCCTTACCCCTTCCTAGCTTCTGGTGCTGGTTGGTGTTTTTAAAAATTGCACTGGATGCTTGTTGTTAAAAATGGCAAGGAAGGGGCAGCCCAGGTGGCTCAGCAGTTTAGTGCCGCCTTCAGCCCAGGGTGTGATCCTGGAGACCCGGGTTCAAGTCCCACATCGGGCTCCCTACATGGAGCCTGCTTATCCCTCTGCCTGTGTCTCTGCCTCTCTCTCTCTCTCTCTCTCATGAATAAATAAATAAAATATTTTTAAAAAATGGCAAGGAAGATTTTATCCAAAACTACAGTAGAGCACAGAGATTGAACTCAGCTCTGAATCTACAGCCAAGGTAGCAGCCAAGATATATAGCCAATACAGCGAAAGGGTCAGTGGATAGAAATTTGTTGAGAGGAACTTGATTAAATATTAAGGGTAGAGAGATTCTTACAAAACAGGCTTAAACAGGATTCTTCACTAAAACTGGGTTTAATAGGCCAAAGTCAAAACTGAGTCAAAAAGAGTACTCAGAGGAGCCCAACAAAAGTTTAGTCCCCTGGGTGGCTCAGCGGTTGAGCCCAGGGCATGATCCTGGGCTCCCAGGATCAAGTCCCACTTCGGACTCCCTGCATGGAGCCTGCTTTTCCCTCTGCCTATGTCTCTGCCTCTCTCTCTCTCTCTCTCTCTCTCTCTCTCTCTCTCGGTGTCTCTCATGAATAAATAAATAAAAGCTCTAAAAAAAAAAAAGTTTAGTCAAGGACAGAGTCCTTGTCACCAGCAATCCTTGGCATTCCTTGGCTGTGGCAACATAGCTCCCAGCTCTGCCTCCATCTTCTCATGGCTCCCCTCCTGCTGTGTGTGCATCTCTTCCCCTGCAGGGATGCCAGTCCTATTGTATTGAGGGCACACCCTTCTCCAGTATGTCCTCATTAACTTACACCTTAATTATATCTACAAAGACTCTATTTCCAAGGAATATCACATTCACATATACCACATATATGGGGGAAGTGGGGGGTTGGACTTCCACATATCTTTTTGGGGGACACGACTCACCCCATATCAGCTTCCCTCTCTGTGTCCTGCTCCACAGACATCCAAGGCTTTGGATGAAGCATGGGAGTTTCCTATAAGCAATAAGAACAGGGATAAGGGAATGGACATGAAAATATTTAAGGAAGAATTGACCAAATTTATGGTGATTGAATGTATAGGGTAAGGAAGAAGAATCCCAGGGTAACTTCTGAGTTCCTTGCTGGGGAACCTGGTAGACAGCGGTGCCATTTACCAAGAGAGAGAAAACAGGAGAGAATCTTATAGGGAATGTGGGAGGGCAGGCTAGGACAAAGGTGAGTTTGTGGGGCTCATGAGCTGACAAATGGGGGTACTTCAAACAAGGAAGAATGATAAGGGCTGGAGGTAGATGTGGAGCAGTTCAAGCCATCAGGGTAGACAAACAGCATGAAGGGAGTCATTGTCAAGGTGGGGAGGAAGACCCCATGAAGGAGACTCAGCCTGACTCACATTTTCTTTGCAGCCATTGGCAGGGCAACATCTTCCTGACTACGTTGTGAGCTCCTGGGAGGGCAGGGCCACAGCTTTGTGTTCCTTCCTCCGTGTCCATTGGGTGGGCACGTGGCTTCCCTAACCATGCCTTAGCTGCTCTCCCTGCAGGGACACCTCTTTGGTGCTTTGTTTCTGCCTTCTCGAATGCACATTAGGCTGTTCCCTCCTCTGACCAACATTTGCCAAGTGTTAGTGGCAGTAATGGTTGAACCCACCCTTCCTAGGATGTTATTTACATTCAAATGGTGTCTTCATGCTTTGAGAATTACTGGAGAAGCTTTCAGGCAGTTGAGAAATGTGTTGGCAAAAGGAACCAAGTATTATATCACTATTCTGCTAGCATCCGCCCTGGGTACGTGGTGAGCTGACAGGCATATGTTAACGCTAGGTCCACATATGGAAAGCACTGGCTTTGGAACCAGACCCACCCAGGTTTGAATTGAAGGTCCTCCACATAGGAGTGGCCTTGGTCACATCCCTTAAACTCATGGAGCTTTGGGTTCCTCCCCTGCAAAACGGGGATAAGATAGCACTTTCCCTAAAAGCATAGGTGGCTTGCCTTGTTGGCAAGAGGGTTTGAGACCCCCGGGCATTAAGCAGCTCAGTGCCTGAGGCATCCCAATAATGCATCGGGCTTATTATTAATAAGATTGATCCACAGTGTTCTCAGTCCCAAGTGGCATTCTAAGGACAGGAAAAGGAGTCCAGAGGCCCCAGTGGCCCCTCCTGGTGTGCATGTGTGTTTGTGTGTGTGTGTGTGTGTGTGTGTGTGTGTGTGTGTGTGTATGTGTTCCCTGCTTGGAGGCACGCCATGGCTGGGGTGCTGCTAATGCTCCCAATCCCCATTGCAGTGTGCCTTGCTGGTGTCCTCCCTGAAGAACCAATCTGGAAAAGAACTAGAGAGTGCAGTCCTCCTGAAAGCAAAGCCAAAGATATTCAAGCAAAGAAGTCAGCCCAAGAAACTCTGTTCTTCCAAACCCACAGCTCCCTCGGTGGCCAGAATGGTTTGACTCCCCTCCCTAATAACACACAGAGGACTTTGCTGCCACCTTGTCTCCTGGTCTTTCCTAGATCTTGAAATGCCAGAGCCAGCAGGGGTGGGGGCAGGGTACTCTGTGGTGAGTGTCCCAAGAGTACCTCCAGCCCTGGCCTCCCAGCAGAAGAACTCCTCTGGGGGACCTGCTTATTAGCTCTGGGGGCATCCCTGGCCTCCTGTCCACCCACCTTTGACTGCCTGGTTATCTCAGCCAGGTACTAAGGACTCCTTGGAATTGGTCCCCACAGTGACATCTGATGGCTATAAGGCAGGAGGGCTTGTCCTGGAGGGTCTCTCGGGGGCAAAGGAGCTAGGGTATTAGGGTATGTAATGGGCTCCTGCTACTGCAGCTACTGCTGCCCAAGGCTTGGTGGGGGCCCACAGGACCCTGGGGGTGACCTGTGCCTTCTCAGGCCTTATCTCTGTCACAGCCTGTCAAATCTGCCCTGCATAAAATAGGCACCCCACTGCAGAAATCAGAGGGCCCTCAAAGGACCCCAGGCTCCAGTGCTTTTGAGCAGACAGGAAGCATCTGGAGCCCTTCAGCGTTTCACTGACTGACAGATCCTTGTAAACACAGTGCATTTGCAGAATGAGGGAATCCATCTGGGCCCTGTGTAGCTTACTCCCATCCTGGGGGCTGCACTTCCAGAAGTTTCTATCCACACAGGCTCTGCCCTCATTCGAAGAACTCCACCAGGTTCCAGGAGCCAGCCCAGAGGCAAATTCTGGGATGAAACCCGAGAGTCTCAGAGGCTGCCTCTTGGGCCTCCAGTGCTTCCTGAGCTGATTCAGCATGAAGAGGCTTAGGCTGTGCCCAGGCCTCCAAAGAGCATCCCAGAACCAGGGCTGGAGGCTCCCTGGGGTAGCGGCAACCAGACCTTTTCCACAACAGCTCACCCAATGGTGTGAGCTGGTCCACGGCCCCAGGTAGTTTTGTTCAGGTGTTGTCACTTTCCCCTTGTGCCCAGTTCTCCCAGTAAGGAAGAACTCCTCCCGATACAGCACAGAACTTACCTATCACTCTGGAAGCCCAGAAATTCCAGTCCAATAGGAAGCAGGGCAGGTAACTGAAGAAAGTTCTAGCAAATCCCACAGCTGTTCTAGCATGCCCTCTCTCTCTATTATGAAATGCACACACAAATGCATATATACACATGCATACACTTTTTTACCTAAAACCCACAGTCTCCTCTGAGTCTGCAGCAGGAGATGGGGCAAACATGTCCAAAGATTTTGTTCCCATTGACCCCTCCCTGTACAGATTCCTAATGGACAGATTGAGCCTGGGGTTTCATCCCAGAGTTTGGGAAGGCAAGGGAAGGTGATGATGCCCCTGGGCTGGCTCCTACAACCTCATGGAGTTCTTTGAATGAGGGCAGTGCCTGTGTGGACAAGACTTCCTGGAAATGCAGCCCCTGGGATGGGAGTGAGCTACGCACAGTCTGGGCCTGCCAAGGAGAACAGGTCACTGATGGGACAGACTGCCTGTTTTCTAGAGCCTTAAAGAGGACCCTGACAGAGAGAAGAGATCCCCCTTGCAAGTTCTGACATGGCGGCCACTCAGTGGCAAAGCAGGCGTCCCACCAGGTAAGGCATGGCTGCGCTCAGGTTCATGCGTAGAGGGTGGCGGGCATGGGTGGGATGTGAATTAATTATGATAGTAACCAAAATGATTGATGAGCATGAGTCTTGATCACATGCCAGCCCTTCTGCTAAGATTGTCCCATTTAAAGCTTACAACAATCAATCCTGTGTGACAGGTAATCTATTTGTTCCCCGTTTTACTAATAAAGAAATTTAGGCCCAGACGGGCTAGTGACCAGTGCCAGTGGGTCGTGATAGAGCATCAAGTATTTTTATTAAAGTATTCAGTTTATAGAACCAAGACCATGTATCTTATTTCTAATGGCAAGGACATAGCAGAATGGTTCAGAGCAGAGTTGTGGAGTGAGCGAGACCTGGGTGGGATCCTTGCTGACTCGGAGGCCCCCTTACCCCCTGTAAGCGGGGGCACCGTGAGGATAAGATGAGACAGGGTACGGAAAGCTCTTATCACCTCTCCTGGTATACATCAATACTTGGTAACAAGCAGCTCTAGCTATGGCTGATCCAGGGGAGGCCAGAAGACTTGGGATAGTCCCAAAGGACCTCAAAGCCATCTTGGAGCTCTATTTCAAGGGTGCAACATAGCTGAAATTGACAAGTCTCTAAAGCAAGCTGGACAGTGTCACCACATGACACCCCCAAGGTTTCTCCAGCCAACAGGCCAATTGTCCCCTAGCTGCAGCCCAGCCAGTGAAAGGAGGGACCGCACAACAGAGAAGGAAGACCAGGTGGAGGGAAGCAGAGACATCTCTCTCACTGTTTTATACAGAGACCAGGAATAATGTGGGTGAGTTGAAAACTACACAAATGTCTGAACAGCCCCCCTGCCCCTGGGGAACTGTAAGTTCAGTAGGCCCCATGGTAGGGAGACCCCCTCTGACTGTCCCAGGACATGGGCAGCTGTACCTCCAGAGCAGGCCTAACCTCAAACCACTCAGGTCTTCCAACCCAGGGAAACGGACGTGCAGATTCTTGACACCACTCATCCTCCATCCATCAGAGGCAGCATTCTCCGCTGAGTCTGATTGGGAAATGGGGAAGGGAGTGGAGATGAGCACCCCACCACTGATGACTGTGAAATGGTACAAATCCCAGTAAGGATTCCCTGAGGTGCGGAGATGGGGAGGTTGAGCCTGCTTCCCCTGATCCACCTAAAAGCCTTCCTTCTGCCCTTCAGGAAATTTTTTTAAAAGCTGATTTTTTAAAAGATTTTATTTATTTACTTGACACAGAGAGAGAGCACAAGCAGGGTGGGGGGAGAGGGAGAGGGAGAAGCAGGCTCCCCACTGAGCAGGTAGCCTGATGAAGGGCTCGATCCCAATACCCCAAGATCACGAACAGAAGGCAGGTGCTTAACTGAGCCACCCACACACCCCTGGCTGATTTGATTCACAGAGAAGTTAACATGCAAAAGGAAACCCAAGGGGTAAGGGAGGGGTGGAGGAATGAGAGGTGTACAAAGTAACCTCACTCTGTTTCTTCTAGGTTCTGTATACAAGAAGTACCCTCAAGGAAGGGGCATACGAAGGGTTAATTCTTCTATACAGTTGCCAAGGAAGGATACAATTTGCTCAAGCCAAGAGGTATGAATTTCTTAGCACCAGCACATGCCCCCCAAGCAATAATTCCTTCTACCAACCTTCCACTTTTAGGAAGATGGGCATCGTTGGAAGTGGGGACAAAATTTGCTTTGACGTGGATGGACCTGGAATGTATTATGCTGGGTGAAATAAGTCAATTGGAGAAGGACAAACATTACATGGTCTCATTCATTTGGGGAATATAAAAAATAGTGAAAAGGAATAAAGGGGAAAGGAGAAAAAATGAGTGGGAAATATCAGAAAGGGAGACAGAACATAAGAGACTCCTAACTCTGGGAAACGAACTAGGGGTGGTAGAAAGGGAGGTGGGCAGGGAGTGGGGGTGACTGGGTGATGGGCACTGAGGGGGGCACCTGATGGGATGAGCACCAGGTGTTATTCTATATGTTGGCAAATTGAACACCAATAAAAAAATAAATTTATTTTTTTTAAAAAAAAGGAAGCGGGGACAAAGCTGCTTATGATAACTGCTTAAGTGGCAAATGGGGAGGAGGAGTTAAGTAGACCTATGTTTGAAACCTGGGCCTGCCACTTCCTGGCTGGGCAAATCATCCAGCTAGTCACAGAATCTCGGGGTCCTCATTTGTAAAAATGGAGACAGATGTTCCTACCTAATAGGATTGATGCTAGTTGAAGTGTATTTTGTGTAAATCACTTAGTGGTGTCAATCTTTTGGTTGCAAGCGGCAGAAATTCCCCTTCTTGATCATATCCTGAAAGTAGAACATCTTTCTTCCCATAACCATTCAGTAAAAGTCTAAGCTTGGGTCTGATTGGGCTGATCCCGGAGCCATGCTTGTAATTGCCATGAACCTGCCCATTCTTATCTCTCCACTGTGACAGGGAGGTTGATATTCTCCAAATTGGCTTAGGCTGAACTTCAGACCAATCATAGCTTTCCACTCAAATTTTGTGGGAGAGAGTTGAAATGGAATTGGGAACTAACAGTGTCCACCAGACTAGAAAGTAGCAGATGCTCAATAAATTGTGTTCCCCGTTGCCCATATTTCTTATGCATCTCTCCCCAGCACAGGGGAAAGAATCCACAGGCAACGGATGCTCAATGAGGACCGAGAAACCCCACATTTCCAATATGAGACAGATTTCAAACATAAGGTTCAATAGATGAGTCAGACCATCATTCAATAAAGCCTATGTTACCCAAGATAATAGTTCTTTCCTCTCTTCTCGAGTGGGTAGCGAATTACGGACTAAAAAAACTGAAGATGGAAATCTCCAGATACATGGGTCCCAGCTGCGCCCATCAAAAATCAGTCCAGGGGCTGGCCTCAGCCAAACACTGCGCCATCCTGCCCAGCATAGAAATTAATGTAAGTTGTGGGTTTCGTTGCTCTTCTCTTCCTGCCACCCCCTGTCTGTGATCAGCCACAAATGGCACACGTGTGCTGGGGAGAACTCCATGTGGATGTCTGTGCCGTGGCTTCTCTTCCTGCTTCCACCCAAATGTGGGATTGCTCTCGGCATATAAGGAAATACAGATCCCGTTGGAAGAAAAGTCAACCCGTGGAGGGCCCAATACCACCCCCCAGAGCTAGATGGGCTACATGGTGTGAGAATTAGAAACATTGCTGAGAGGGACGCCTGGGTGGCCAAGTGGCTGAGTGTCTGCCTTCAGCTCAGGTCGTGATCCTGGGATCCTGCGATCGAGTCCCATTATCGGGCTCCCCACAGAGAACCTGCTTCTCCCTCTGCCTATGTCTCTGCCTCTCTGTGTCTCTCATGAATAAATAAATAAAATATTTTAAAAAGAAAGAAAGAAAGTTGCTGAGAATAGGCTGTGGCTGAAGAACTCACCAGAATTCTGTACCCCCAGTGCTGCTGATGGTTCCATTAGGATAGCGGGCTTCCCTTCTCCCCTGCCCCCCAGCGGAGGTTACTGTGTTCTCTAGTTTCTAGTTTGGGGGTAATTTTTTTTCATTGTTTTAACACTAGAACAAGGAAATTTAGTACAAGTGAGCAACAAATCATGGTGTGTGTGAGTGTGTATGTCTGTGTGTGTGTGTTTAGAAGACCCTGTTTTCTATTCTTTCCATTTTATATGACATTATTGCGTTAGGAGAAACTAGAAAGTCAAAAGTAGCTACGAAACTCAAAATTATTCACCAGAAGGATTTTTATGGGAGTTTTATCATTCTGTCCCCTTCTCTGTCTATGGTCATCTTTTAGTTTGACATTTATGGACTTCCCATCCTACTATTAAGGGTTTTCTAATTTAAAATTTAGAGATGCTACGTTTTTTATTATTTCAGTGACCACATTTGCCACAAAACCATCATCCCAATTCCTCTACTCCTCTAGAACCATAAATCTAATAGTTTGATAAAAGAAAAAAACCTGTAAGCAAATATATATATGCCTAACAGATGTTTTGGAAACTATTAACCACAACCAATTGAACTATTTATGGGGGTGATGGGGATCTAAAGACATAGCTGATGCGGGGAAATTTGCCTTCATCCAGGGGATAGTGAGACATATCCAGTGGACGCCCAGGGAAATTGAAGTATACATCACGTGCCTGGAGAAGGTGATGAAGCGCTATGTCCAGAGGCTGCAGTGGCTATTGTCTGGTGAGGCTTCCTGCTGTCCTGGAGTGCAGGAAGGGCATGAGGGGAAGTGCAGGGTCAACCCCAGGGACCAGGGCCAGCCCTTCCCAGGCCAGGTGCACAAACCATCACATCAGGGGTGAGACCAGGAGGGCCATCCAGGTACAACATGATTTTCTGGATTCCAAGGTCAGGCAAGGTGCTGGATGTCAGGGAGGTAGAGTGTAGGCCAAAGGGCACCAGAGAGAACCCAGGCCTGTCCAGGCTCACCCTGCAAGGCCATCTTCCACCCCTCGCCCTCCTGGACGTGACTCAGGGGCTCACTCTCAAGAGGTTCAATTCAGTATTGATTGGACCCCACAGAACTGGTCCATGAAGGTGGATATGGGAGGGCATCCCAGCAGAGCAGAATCCCTGTTCTTCCTTACAAAGAGTATTGAGGCTCCTTCCGGCCGGCAAATGGCAGGGCTCGCCCAGGAGAGCCAGGCTCACATCCTAGGGAAGGGTGGGCTGGGGATTGAGAGATGATCAGAAGCATCAAGTCCAAGAGACCAGGGAGCTAGCTAGAGCTGGACAGGGGGTGTTGAGGCTTTGGGGCCTGGATGGTTCCTGGGACAACAGGAGGAAGGAGAGGGAGAGGCTTTTATAGAGGCCCCTAGATGGGCCCCTCAGGATCCTGTGCAAATTCATTAGGTCCAATCCTCTGCAGTAGAACCTGGTAAAACAGACCATACTGTACAGTGGGGTGTAGTGTGTAGTGATGATTGCTGCTTCCCAGAACCTCGGGTGGGATGAGGGGCAGTGTTGCCAGCTCCAGGTGTAGTTGTCAGGTCAGAGGCTGACATGGAGCAAAAAGGTCACATGCCTCTGTCCAATCCCAAAGCACATTTGTTGCTGGGAAGGGTGTGATGACCAGTGGAATCCCCACCTCGTGTACAAGTGCTCACCCCAGCACCAGCTAATACTTCAAATGCCACCAACACTTTAAAAACCAGGGCTACTTCATTTATTCACTCATTCATTATTCAACAAATATGTGTTGCTGTCTCATCAGGCGCTGGAAGATGGTGGGAGGCAACACCCAGCAGGGTCCCTGAGCTCAAGGAGCATATGGTCTAGGAGACAGACATTAACCAAAGAGTCTCACAAACAAGTCTAATGTCACAACAGTGACGTGTAGACAGGAGATGGGCGTGGTGAAGTGAGAGCCTCCAAGAGGAGCGACAGGCCTGGACAGGAAGATCATGGAGGGCTTCCCTGAGGAGGTGATATTTGAGCCAAGATCTGAAAAGTGAATAGATGTTGCTGGGCCAAGAGAAGAAAGACAGGCATGTCTGAGGTGCTGGGGGGTGGGGTAATGCTGAGTACAAAGACTAAAAAAGAAGCCGATATGGCTGAGAATGAGGGAGAATAAGAGTGAGACCATCCCAGAGAGATGAAGCCTTGTCTAAACTTCACCCTAAGAGCAGTTGGAAGTTACTAAATGTCTTAAATAAGGGGAAAGTGATCAAGTTAGCATCAGCAATAATCCTCCTGGTTGCTGCATGGAATATAAGTTGCTGAGGGGATGGAGTGGAATCAGGTAGCATCATAGTGGCCCAGGTGAAGGACCAGGCCAGCTGGAAGAGGTGGGGATGATGGAGATGGATGAAGTAGGAAGAGTCCGAGAGATTTGAGGTAGATACGACAGGGCTTGGGGACTTGCACTATGTTTCCATCGTCTGGTTCCTACAATGGATCAGCCAGCTGTTTGTGGTCAGAGGTCCCTCAGCTGGCTGCCTGGAGGGCCATCCTCATGGAATGTCTCCCTGCCCCAGGATGGCTCCTCATATTGACATGAGCACTGCTAGAGAATACCCCCAGATGAGTCCTGGCAGATTCCTGGGCAGAGGGTCCAGCCAGCTCCATCTACCTTTTCCTGGAAAGCAGCCCATCTGTTTTGTAGCAGTTTTCCCCTTGTTTCTACTACTGCCTCTGCTGAGGTCCCTGAGGGGTGATCAAGAATGCTACGCATCCTCTTCTGTTCCTTCAGCTTTCCCCCTAGGTTTCCTCCATAGTTAGTCTGTGGAGCCGCAAGGGTAGGGTAGCAGGTGTCCCTGACTACAGTGTGGATCAGAGGATATGGTATGAGAGTCTGCGGTCACTGCCAGTCTCTGTGACGCTGGCAAGCCACTGGCCCTCTCTGTTTCCCCTTGGGATAAATCCCAAATCCTTTCAGCACGTCACCAACTTCACCTCCTGTCCCTTTCCCCACGGGTCTCTCCATCCCAGGGCTCCTGATTCCTCACATGGGCTTTCCCTCTGTCCTGGAGCACACCATGCTCTCCTCCTCCAGCTCAGGCCTTCCTAGGCTGTTCCCTCCTTATCTCCACTTCTTTCCTCCACTCGCTCCTGCTCCTCTTGCAGTGGTAGCTCACCCACAGAATTCAGATTCTCCCCATGGTGTGCCCCATGACACTCTGTCATGAGCCTCGGAGAGCCATAACTGTAAATCTAACATCTGTCTTCCTTGCCTGACTCCATGAGGGCACAGCACCAGACTCTGCTGATTTCTGTTGACCAGTTGACAGACTCCATGCTCTTTAACATCTTTTCCAGCTCTAAACAATACTGTAAATACCACTCTGACCCATCGCTCAACTATAGGAATGAGGAAACTCAAGGCCAGAGCAATTTTTTAAAGATTTTTTTTAAAGATTTTTTTTATTGGGATCCCTGGGTGGCGCAGCGATTTAGCGCCTGCCTTTGGCCCAGGGCACGATCCTGGAGACCCGGGATCGAATCCCACGTCGGGCTCCTGGTGCATGGAGCCTGCTTCTCCCTCTGCCTGTGTCTCTGCCTCTCTCTCTCTCTCTCTCTCTGTGTGTGTGTGTGACTATCATAAATAAATAAAAATTTAAAGATTTTTTATTTATTTGAGAGAGAGAGAGGGCAGAGGGAGAGGGAGAAGCAGACTCCCCCCTGAGCAGAGAGCCCAACACGGGGCTCCATCCCAGGATCCTGAGATCATGACCTGAGTTGAAGGCAGACACTTAACCAACTGAACCACCGAGGCGCCCCAAGGCCAGAGCAATTTTAACCACTTGTGCAAGTGATCATAGATCACAGGCAAAGCCGCAGCTGAAACTTTGACCTCCAAAGCCCCGACCACTGACTGGCTCTGCCCTTGGACAACCAACACCCCACCAGCACCGCCACAAAGGCCATCTCCCAGTGGGCTGACATCTGATTGGTGATCAGTCAGGCAACAGGTGTATTTGGTAGACCTTGTATTTGATAGCTGCTGTGAGAAAACCACCCCGGGAATAGGGAGGGAACGACCCCTCACTCCTTCCCTACCTCTGCCCCCACCACCTCGGAGCAGGGAGCCGCCGACTGTTTGGCACCATTCTGGAGCGCAAAGTGTGCATCCTGGTGGACACGTCGGGATCCATGGGCCCCTACCTGCAGCAGGTGAAGACGGAGCTGGTTCTGCTGATCTGGGAACAGCTGCGGAAGCACTGTGACAGGTGAGAGGCAGGGGTGCAAGTGGGTGTGGGCAGGATGATCAAAGGGGCCCTTTGGGGGCTTCTGTCTTCACCGTTCACGAGGCCTGGAGGCAAAGCTTATTTAAGTAGTGAAAAACACTGCACTCTGTTGTAGAAGTAAAGCAGCCTTTAGAAATCCATCTCAGGCCCAGGAACCATTGCAAGCAGAGCCAAGGAACCACCAGGTGGCCTTGAATTGTGGATTTCAGCTAACCTGATTTTTTAAGAGAGGGGGTTGGGGGTTGTTTTTTCTGCCCAGACAGGTTGACGCTAGGAGACAGCAGGAGACTCTGATCCTAGGCTGGGACCCATCCTTGCCTTCTTATTAATAAGTAAACATTGATTGAGCACCTTCTGCAGGCCAAGCATTTTGAGTGCATGATTTCCTTCCATCCTCACAGCGCCCCTAGGAGGTGTTGCCATTATTATTCTTATTTTTCAGAAAAGGAGACTTAGGTTAAGTAATCTGCCAGAGATCACATACTCTGTTAGTGGCCGAGGTGGGACATCAATCTACTTCAGTCTGCATCCAATGTGTACCTTCTCCTTCTCCCCAGGGGCCCCAGGCGCTCACTATAGGTGCTTGAAGCTCATCGGCATGAAGCTTCCTCAAGGGGATCCTTCAGCCAGGCATTTTCTAGCCACTCTCTTTCACCTCCCCTCTTCGCCCCCCCCCCCCATCTCTCCTCTCTCCCCAGCTTCAACCTGCTTAGCTTTGCAGCAGACCTGCAACTCTGGCAGGACACCCTGGTGGAGACCACCGATGAGGCATGTCATGAGGCTATGCAGTGGGTGACCCACCTGCGCGCTCATGGGAGCACCTCCGTCTTGCAGGCATTACTGGCAAGTTCTACCACCAAGCCCAACCCTGTTGGCCAAACAGAAAATACCATCACACCCTAAACTGATACTGTGTGAGGCTTTCAAATTACAAAGAGCACTTTCTTAGATTTAAGAACTGTTGCTTTATTTCATCTTCCCAACAACCCAGTAAGAAAGGGATTCTGGTTCTCATGTTATAGGTAAAGACACAGAGGCTCAGAGAGGTTAAGTGACTGGCTGGGGTTAACCAGCCAGGAAGTGGGCCGTGCTCTTTCTCCTAAACCTTGGCGGTCTCCTCGGTCTGTGGTAGGCTGAAAGAGGCTGGTCATCTCTCACTGTTAATGGACAAGTCAGTAGGATCCAGTCAGACAGTTTCCCTGGGGACAGCAGGCAGTTGGATTTTATCCTTCCCTGTTAGCACTGACCCCTGAGCCAGACGACCTGCCTGCCCTCTTTCAGAAAGCCTTCACTTTTCACGATGTGGAAGGATTGTACCTCCTGACCGATGGGAAGCCAGATACAAGCTGCAGCCTTATTCTGCGTGAAGTCCAAAGACTCATGGAGACAAGACATGTGAAAATGCACACCATTGCCCTGAACCACTCAAGCAGGTGGGCCGCGCTGTGTGCCTCTCCTGTGGCTGCATGTGTGAGGGCCAAGGCCTCCCCTTAGACCCTGACCTCTCCTGGCCCCCATCAGTGAGCGGGAAGCAAGAAGGGGCCGGCAAGGGTTAGGCCCGAGTGAAAGCCCTCTCTCCACCTCCCACTCAGCCCCCCAGAACCCGCTCTCCTGACTTTCTCCAGCCTGGAAACTGATTGGCACTGATTCCCTGGGCACACGGGGCATTCTCCTTCCTGATCTTTCTCTGGAGCATGTTAGTGAATGTGGAGGGAGGAAAAGTTTAAAGTAGCTTTGTTACGGTTCTTTTTAGAAACAATCACCATAGAGGAACGTGTGTTAGACCAGAGAGCTTCTACTCCTTCCAGAAAAGACTTCAATGTTGTTGGCAAAACTCTGATGACTTGGGTGCATATGTGATCTCTATCTAAGCCACGAGCTCCGTGAAGGTCACGCTTGTGTCCCTGCCAGGCCTAACACCCAGGAGCAGGCCCTGGCTAGATGTCTAATGAAGGAACGTGTGCTGGCCGTGTGCTTTCATGCTAAGTGGAGACATGAAAGCACTGAATCTGCTTCATGCGGCCGCCACGGCCCATAAGCTGACAGGGTGTGGGCTTGCGATGCTGACATGGTCTCAAGGGCACAGAGCCTCAGCGCCTGAGGCCCAATGCCCAGCAGACCTGAGCTCCCAATGGGCTGGGGGTGTGCAGGGAGCTTGCCTAGCCAGTCAGTGGGCCTGGCCCTAGAACCTCTGTTCTCCCTACTAGGGCGGCGGGTGACTTCCTGAGAAATCTGGCCGCCCTCACGGGGGGCCGCTATCACTGCCCCGTTGATGAGGACACACTCCTCAGAATCCATGGCCTGCTGACCAAGGGCATCATGGACGAAAGGGTAAGTTGCAGAGTGAAGGCTGTTCAACTGTCTCGATATACTGTCAGCAGATGTGGGCTTCTCCGAGAACCCCTCTGCTTCTCTTGTAAGAATAGCAAGTATCGGCTAGAAAGGGTTCTCTTTCCCTGTGGCTCTTCCTCTCAGCTGGCTCTCATCAAGGTGGGAAAGAAGCAGAGCATGGAGGTGTTATTTAACAATAGAACAGTTCAGGGGCATCTGGGTGGCTCAGTCCATTGGGCTGATTCTTTTTTTTTTTTAATTTTTATTTATTTATGATAGGCACACAGTGAGAGAGAGAGAGAGGCAGAGACACAGGCAGAGAGAGAAGCAGGCTCCATGCACCGGGAGCCCGACGTGGGACTCGATCCCGGGTCCCCAGGATCGCACCCTGGGCCAAAGGCAGGCGCTAAACTGCTGCGCCACCCAGGGATCCCCTTTTGGGCTGATTCTTGATTACAGCTCAGGTCATGATCTCAGGGTTATCAGATCAAGTTCTGAGTGGGACCTTGCACTCTGCAGGGAATCTGCTTAATATTGTCTCCCTCACCATCTCCCTCCCCCTCTGTTTCTCCCCCCTCCCCAGGCACACACCTTCTCTCTCTAAAATAAATTTTAAAAATATTTTTTTTTAAAAATTAGTAGAACAGGGGTGCCTGGGTGGCTCAGTTGGTTAAGCACCTGCCTTCAGCTCAGGTCATGATCCCAGGGTCCTGGGATCAAGCCCCATGTTGGGCTTCTGCTCAGCCAGGAGCCTGCTTCTCCCTCGTGCTCTCTCTCACTATCTCTGTGGCTATATCTGTCTCTCTCAAATAAATAAATAAAACGTTAAAAAAATAATGGAACAGATCACATTCATTGAGCACTTACTTTGTGCAGGTCCATTGCTTTTATAGATGACTTTTCAATCCTCTCAGCCATTACTATAGCCGTTAAACAGATGAATAAATAGGCTCAGCAAGGGATAGGGCTACAACTAAGGACATAGCAAATGGTAAAGCCAGAGCTCAGACACCCAAGCTCTTAACCTCTTTCCTTTGAGTCGTGCATATTTCTGTCTCTCAATGTTCAATTCATTAAAACACAGATATGCAAATTATCTTAAGTAGTAAATCTGATAAAGTCACACAGGCCAGGTAAGAGAAGAATACCAACCAAGCTCTTCTGATCTGACCGAAAAGTTATACACATGTTTATACATTTTAGGAACATGGTGCTATCAATTATAACATTTCAAGACAACAAATTATCAAGTAAGACAAACAACCAGATTCCAGGTTTCTGTTTTTGGAGGTTAAAGCAAATGTTACAGGACATGGCATAATTTTTGAAGTCTAGTGCTTTGCATGACTCCTTTATTCAAGTACCTCTTCTAGGGACAAATATTACAAATAGTTCAGAGAACAGAACAAGTAGAAGTGGGCAGCCCAAGTGGCTCAGTGGTTTAGCACCGCCTTCAGCCCAGGGCCTGATCTTTGGGGACCCTGGATTGAGTCCTGTGTTGGGCTCCCTGTGTGGAGCCTGCTTCTCCCTCTGCCTGTGTCTCTACAACTCTCTCTCTCTGTCTCTCATGAATAAATAAATAAAAATCTAAAAAAAAAAAAAGAACAAGTAGAAGTAACGAATATTACTAAGAACCTGTGTCCTTTTTTTTTAAAGATTTTATTTATTTATTCACGAGAGACACAGAGAGAGAGAGGCAGAGACACAGGCAGAGGGAGAAGCAGGCTCCATGCAGGGAGCCCAATGTGGCATTCGATCCTGGGATTCCAGGATCACGCCCTGGGCCAAAGGCAGGCGCTAAACCGCTGAGCCACCCAGGGATCCCCTCACCTGTGTCCTTATACACAGGAGAATACATTTGACAGTATTGCAAAGGTCCGCAGTTTAATACCTCTTCAGATCAGATTCTTTAAATCGTGTCTGGATGCGGAATGGGATCATTCTGCTCCTGCTGCCAAGGAGCGGAGGCAGCTTCATCTCTTTCCTACATTCTCTTGCTGATTGTGAGAACTTGTGTTTTTAACACGAGCCTCTGGAATTCCACGGGTTGACATACGAGAAAAACATGTCTGTGAAGCTTGGTTTTACTAGAAGCAATGGGGGGAAAAAATAGAAGCAGTGGAGAAAGGGCGGAATAGATTTTGCTGCCTAACAGTGAGATAAGGAGCATGTCCCACTTCTGCTGGGAAGAGAAGGGCAGACTTCAGGGAAGCTCGGTGGCCATCTCGGTTTGCCACTGCCCACCCATCCCGACACAGACTCTCAGGTGCCTCATCTTAAAGTGTCCCATTTGCAGAATGACTGCCTTGTCAGGTGGTGACCTCCTTGTGCCTGGAAGGATGCAAACCAAGGCCCACAGATTTCCTGCCCTGGGTGAGAGGCTGCATTTGATTAACTCTAAAATTTTTCTGCTGAGACTTTGGATGTTCAGGTTACATCCAGTCATTTGATGGATCTAACTTCATGTTTGTTTCCCCTTTCCAAGGATTCCATGTTGCCACTGTTTGAAGGAGATGATTTAAGGAGATTGGCCCAGGAGATCACCAAGGCCAGAAGCTTCCTCTGGAAGGCCCAGTCCTTCAGGTATACCCTTTGAGCAGCCCCTCCCACCTGCCTCGTGGCTCCAGCCTGCCCAGATCCTGGGCCTCCTCAAGACCAAGTCCATCCTGATCATGGCAGCCTTCCATCCCGAGCTCCTGCCCTGCTTCTCCCCACCAGGCCCAGAAATCTGGGCATTAAGGGGGGTCATCTTATTTCATCTCCTGTCCACTAGGTCCCAACTCCAGAAGAAAAACAACACAGAACCAAATGTCACTCTTTTTTAGAGATGTGTTCTCAGGTAAGAGGAGAGGAGAAGCTCTTCATCTTGTAAGTATCCAAGCCTGGCTGACAGCAGGCTCTGTTTCATGGACAGCTGTAACTATAGGGAGGGACCAGAGTTATTCCTCTAAACAGAAAGGCCACCTCACAAATAATCACTCACTTTGCACACATTGGCCCTGAGAAAGCTGTAACCCAGAGTTCCTCCCAAGAAACAGGATCGCAGGCACCAAGGCTCTCTGGATGCTGAGGGAGGGAAGGCTCTGGCATCCTCGGTCTACCCTAATGTTCCTTCCCTGTCTCCCAACATACCCTACACTCCAGCCACAAAACTGTCACTCACTGGGAAGCCCTGCACCGAGGCCTGCCTGGAACCCCCTTCTTACCACCCTCTGCCTGATGGCTTCTGCTCCTCAATCAAGGCACAGCTCAAATGACATCAGCTCCACTGTGAAGATGTTTCTGAGACCCGTTGAGAGCTGGGAGCCTCCAGCCTTCCTTCCACTGTATCCTGGCCAAACATCCCTTTTCATAGCAGCAACACCTAGCATTTATTATGCCTAGTACCCCATGTCATGCTTCCTTGCTTCCCTGCCAACTCTTCTCCTTGACTGTGAGCTCTACCCAGAAATGAAGCTGGTGTCCTAACCATCTCTAGGTCCCCAGAACCTGCCACAGGGCAGATTGCAGTAAACTGGGAGCACCCAGCTCAGTTGTGGGAGCCCAGCTCTGGAAACCAACCAGAGGATATTGTTTCTACCCTAGTCCCCTCACTCAGTGCTTCCCATCACCCTTGTCCACGTGATGAAGATTCACTGTCAGCCCATCTTGGGAGAAGAAACAAGTGGGCTTACCACCTGCTTGTTCAACCAAACAGAATTAAAGTCTACTCTGGAGCCAAGTCCAGAGAGAGTGCTCTGCTCAAGCAGGTGCAAATCAGGCTAGGCCCCAGCCCTACTGTGTACATACAAAATGAATATGTCATGTATTATGTGGTCTGGGATCATATCCTGAGACAAAAAAATTGCTGGTACTTAATTAAATAGGAGCAAAATGACTTTTAAGCTGAAGTGATGACTGGTTCATGTATGTGTGTGTGTCAATTTTTGGTGATATAAAACTTTATTTAAAAACTCAGATGCAGGGACACCTGGGTGTCTCAGCAGTTGAGTGTATGCCTTCAGCTCAGGACATAATCCTGGAGTTCTGGGATCAAGTCCCACATCGGGCTCCCCGGAGGGAGCCTGCTTCTCTCTCAGCCTGCGTCTCTGCCTCTCTCTTTCTGTGTGTCTCATGAATAAATAAAAAAATATTTTTTAATTACAAAAAATAGAAACTCATATGCAGGGGCACCCGGGTGGTACAGAGGTTGAACATCTGCCTTCTTTTTTTTTTTTTTTTTTTTAAGTATACTATTTTGTCCTTTTTTTTTTTTTTTTATTTATGATAGGCACACAGTGAGAGAGAGAGAGGCAGAGACACAGGCAGAGGGAGAAACAGGCTCCATGGCTCCATGCACCGGGAGCCCGACGTGGGATTCGATCCCGGGTCTCCAGGATCGCGCCCTGGGCCAAAGGCAGGTGCCAAACCGCTGCGCCACCCAGGGATCCCTGAACATCTGCCTTCGGCTCTGGAGTGATCCCAGGGTCCTTGGATCGAGTCCCACATAAGGCTCGCCACAGGGAGCCTGCTTCTCCCTCTGCCTATGTTTCTGCCTCTCTCTGTGTCTCATAAATAAATAAAATATTTAAAAACCAGAAAAAGATGACCATCCTAATTTTGTTAAATGACAAAACACTCAAACAGGTACAAATGGACAACTGGTATATGAAAAAGTACTCAAAGCCTTGCCCATCAGTGAAATGCAAATGAGAACCACAGTGATATACCACTGCACACCCACCAGAATGGCAAAAGGTAAAAAGACCTACAATATCAAGAAATGGAGCAACTAGAACTCTCCTTCTCCTGCCCTGCTGGGGAGGGCATAGGGTGGTGTAAATTGGTTCAACCACTTTGTGAAACTGTGTAACAACTTTTGCTGAGAGAAAATATATGCTTGTTCTATGATCCAGCAATTCCACTCCAAGAGAAAAAGTGTATATGTTCCATAAAAGACATATAGGAGGAGCGCCTGGGTGGCTCACCCAATTAAGCATCTGCCTTTGGCTCAGGTCATGATCCCAGGGTCCTGGGATAAAGCCCCGTGCCAGGCTCTCTGCTCATTGGAGGATCTGCTTCTCTGCCATTCCCCCTGCTTGTGCTCTCTCTCTCTGTCAAATAAATATTTTTTTTAAAAAAAGACACATAGGAGAATGTTTATAGCAGCTTTATCCATAAGATCCAAAAACTGGAAACAACCTAAATGTCCACCCATGGTAAAATGGAGAAATACAGTTTGTGCCATTTGTATAGTGTACATTTCTACACATCAATTTAAAAAATGAGCTACAACTACATTCAACAAGATGCATTGATATTATGAACAATGTCAGGCAAGAGAAGAGTACATAGTGCTGGAAGTGTTCTAGATCTTCATCTAGGTAGTAAAAATTCATCAATTTAAAAAACAAAAACAAAAAAACAACCCACAGTTCACTAAGGCTTGACATACACTGGCTTTGGCCAGACTCCATGCTGGGCCCAGGGAGGCAGCAGTGAGCACAGCCCCTGCCTCTGTGGCTCTCAGTCTGGTCACTGCCTTGGGTAGCTGCCCTTCCACGTCACCGCCACAGACTGAGAGAAAATAGCCTGTGGTATTTGTATTGCTTTGCTGGTTGTTGTCATAACAAAGTACCACAAACCGAGTGGTTGAAACAACAGCAATGGATTATCTCCAGTTCGGGAGACCAGAAGTCTGAGATCAAGATATAGCCAGGACCCAGCTCCCTCCAAAGGCATTCGGGAGGATCTGTGACAGGCCTCTCTCCTGGCTCCTTGTAGTTCATTGGCTTGTGGACGTATCACTCCAACCTCCACATGATGCTCTTCCTGTATGCATGTCTGCATCCAAATTTCCCCGCTTTCATAAGGACACTGGTCATATTGGATGAGCCCTACTCTCTATTACTTTATCTTTAATCACATCTGCAATGACCCTATTTCCAAGGTCATACTCTGAAGTCCTGGGGGTTAGGATTCCAACATATGAATTTGGGGGGTGGGGGTGGAAGAGGTACACAATTCAACGTATAACTCTTGTGTGGTAAACTATGCTCTCAGCAGGACAAGAGCAGCCAGCTGGACCTGGGGCTATCAGCCCTGTGGCCCTGCTAGTGGGAGAGGAGGGGCTGGTCTTTGGGAATAGAATGATGGACATATGTCAGACAAGGTTTGGAAAGTGGTGAGGCACAGGACCTGGGTTTGAATCCCAGTCTCTCATATAACGGTAACACCTGCCTTTGGTTGAGCACTGACTATGCAGGCACCATCCTCGTCGCTTATACCTTGTTTGCTACAAGCGCAACAACATCACAGCTGTAAATCACGCACCACTCCCAGCTTATGAATGAGGATGTGGAGCCTTGTAGCTGCCCAGAGACACACAGCAAGAAAGTGGCAAAGTCAAGATTTAAAGCCAGGGCTGACCCCATGGCCTTTATCCACCACACTCTGAGGCTCTTCTTATCACTCTGAACCCATTTTCCTGCCTCTAAAATTATGCCAGAACAGAGTTGTGAGGATTGGGCAAGATACCTTAGCACCTGGCACATAGCATGTACGGGCTAAGATTTTTTTCTCTTCCCCACGCCACCTATGCTCACAGAGGAGGCTCCAACGGGTGAAGCCTTTCTAGTAGCTTCTTCACACCAAAGTGAGCAGGCCTCAGTGTTCCCAGCTCAGAGTTAGTTCTCAGAGCTCCACTATAGCAGCAGCGCCTGCTGTCGGGCACATGCCTGCCCCTCTGCTACTGCCACCTGCAAATGGATCTTCAGGAGTGGTGTGATCCAGCTGGGTCCCCAGCACAAGGGAAAGGCTGGGGACCCAGCAACAAGGAAGCACCCACTAAATGTGGGATGACTGTATCAGAGGATGGATGAACCCAGAGATGGGCAGGGGAATACAAGAAAGGAAGGAAGGCAGATCCGTGGACGGGAGGAAAGAAAGATACATGGAATGAACTGGATGGATGTAAGGCTGGGCGGAGAGGTGGAAAGATAGAATGACAGGTGGATAGATAGATGAATGGATGAATGGACAAAAAAGAAAGAAATGTACGGGGAATATGGATGAGTAAAGAGGTGGATGGAAGAACAGGTAGGATGATGAGTAGATGGACGAGGAAGAGGGAGAGAAGGCAGGAAGCAGCAGGTGGGCGGGAGGCAGGCTGCCTAGAGAGGAACGAGTTGGGGCGACAGACGGACCCCCAGGGTATGGGGGGCTGAGGAAAGAAATGTTGTTTCTTGGGTTTCTAGGACTACTGTGCGGCAGGGCCTTTGCGTCCTTTCTGCACCAGCATCTGGGCCCATTGCACCCGCTCCCTGTTTGACGGGCCTCAGTTTCCCCTCTGTGAGAGCCTGTGAGGCTGTTTGCCGCCTGCAAAAGGCGGCTGTTCCCGCGCGGGGAGCCGGTGGGGCGGGGGCGGGGCGAGAGGCGGGGGCGGGCCGGGGTGGGGCGGGGCCGGACGATGGGCGGGGCCGGGGTGGGGCGGGGGCGGTCCCGGAGCTCAGCCCCGCCCCGTCCCGCCCCGGGAGGGGCCGCCCCGCCGCGCCGCGCCGCGCCGCGCGGAGACCGTGGGTGCAGCGCCGGGAGCTCGCAGCGCCGCGGGAGCCGGGCCGGTGAGCGCAGCGGGGACCCCGGGGGGGCGGGGAGCCTAAGGGCGGGGGGTCCCCGAGCTGCGGGGCCGGAGCCGCTCTCGGAGTCGGGCGTGGGGGGGCGGGGGGCGGGGGCACCCGCTCCTGCCCGCCCCTGCCAAGCGATGCGGCCGGGGTGGTCCCCGACGCCCCTTCCCCAGTTCCTTTACCCACACCCCACTGCGAGTCCCTGGTGACCCGACCGACCCATTTATTGAGACCCCATCAAAGTTCGCGAATGTTCCCTGAGCCTCAGTTTCCAGCTCTGAGTGATGGGGACAGGAGCCTGTAGTGCACAGGGCTGCCCGGGCAGTGAGTGCCGCCGCGGCCCGGGTCACGGGGGGCGCAGCCACGGTGCTCGGTGCTCGGTGCTCCCGGATGCGGAGTTCTTAGCGGTGCGGCGCGGTCAGCAGCTCCTTATCCCCTGCTCGGTGCCAGCGCTGTTCCCGGCGCGGGGACAGGACGGTGAGCGGAGCCCTCCTGGAGACTGCTTCCCAGCGCCCTGCCAAGGGCTCTGGCATCTCTTCATGACCGCCTGGTGGGGTAGACGGAGCAGCCAGGGTTACTGGGGTCCATTTTACAGCTATGGATACTGAGGTACCCTGAGGTTTTAAGGATTTTGCCTAAGGGTCACAAAAAAAGCATCCCCATAAGATAGAAAGATGGCTTTGGTCCCAGAGACCAGTCCCCTGAACAGAATCCTGGGTAAAGAAGGGCTCCACCGTGGGGCTGCACCCTTTCCCCCTCCCTATAGGGGAATTAGACTCATCTCCTGTGATCACTCAGATTTGGGGTGTCTCCTCCCTGTTAAACCCCTGAGTGCCAATGTCTGTATGGGGTGTGACTGTGTCCTTTAACCTGGAACTCTGGAGAGCAGGGCAGTGACAACAGAGCCTAAAAGATAACAGTCCCTATAGCTGTCAGGGTCCCTGCCCCGTGGCACCACCAGCACCAACCACAGGGCTCATCACTTAGCCACTCAGCATGCCCCTTCTTTTTTACAGCCAGCCGGCCTCAGGCAGGGCAGAGACACCTATCTGTGTATCCACAGGGCCTGGCAGACGGTTGGCCCACCATACGTGGTTGCTGCCATTATTAATGGTGATGATGATGGTGGTCTGGCCCCCGGAGCACATCTTCTCCTCAGGTGGAGTAGGAGGCAGCGGGCAGAGAGGGTGGGATGATGATAGTGATAGTGGCTGACAGCCTGGCTCATTTTAAGTCTGGAGTGAGGACCACAGGATCCTCAGTGCTGGACCCCAGGGCTCACAGACCTGACCCCAAAGCCAGCAGAGGGCTTGCACAGATCTGTGGTGCCAGCCGCCTGCACAGCCAGAGGACCTGGGAGGACCGGAGGCAGCAGGTGTCAGGGTAGAGGTGGTGTGGCACTTGGAATTCCACATGGATTCCTCCTCCCCATCTCCTCTCTCCACGTCTCCTCTCCTCCTTGTCCTCCTCTCCCTTCTTTTCTGTCTACCTCTTTCTCCAGGAAGCCCTCCCCACCTTCCCAGTCAGAAAGCAGTTCCCTGGGCATGATCTGATCTGTCTTCCTCTGATACTATGCGGGAATTAGGATTTTAAAGAACTGGTAGAGAAATCAGGAATGCTTGGTGTAAACCTCAGCCATACAGTGTGACTTTGGGCCTCAGTTTCCCCAGCTGTAAAACCCAAGGCCTAACTGCCTTGTTTCTCTCTCTCTGAGGGAGGCAGCAGCCACCTGGAAAGTTCTCAAAATTCTGAAAGGGACAGGTTCACTGGGAAGTCAGAGCATCTCTAGGCCCCACCAGGAGTTCCCCTTGGTCTGATAATCCACATGATCCGACAACTCTAGAATGTTCTTTCTTTTGTTTTTCTCTACAGGTGGACAGATCCTCAATCTGCATGGCTCAATAGAGGATGAAGCCCAACCCAGCAGGCTCCTCCCCAGAGGCCTGCAAAGCTGCAGGCCAGGGCGAGAAGAGCTGCCCTGTCTGCCAGGCCTGGGGAGGAGTCTCAGGCCTGGGATCTGAGTTAGGGCCTAGGCCAATGCCTGGTGCAGTTTCAGGACCTGGCCCAGGGCCAACTACTTTTCTGGGGTTGGAGCTGGGGCCTGGTGCTGTGTCAGGACCTGGGTTGGGGCCTGGTGTGGTTCTAGAACCTGGACTGGGGCTTGGTGCAGTGTCCACACCTGGGCCAGAGCCTGGTGTGGTTCTAGAACCTGGACCAGGGCCTGTTGCTGCTTCAGGACCTGGACCAGGGCCTGGTGCTGTGTCTGGACATAGGCCAGGGCCTGGTGCTGCTTCAGAACCTGGACTGGTACATGGTGCTATGTCCGGACGTATGCCAGGGTCTGGTGTTGTTCCAAGACCTGGACCAGGGCCTGGATCTGGGTCCAGACCTAGGCCAGGGCCTGGTGCTGTCTCAGGACCTGGGCCAGGTCTGGGGCCTGGGTCAGGAGCTGGGTCAGTACCTGGGTCCACACCTAGGCCTGGAGTTGCACCATTACCTGGGCCAGCAGTAGAGCCTGCGCCCAGACGGGGGTCTGGAACTGGGCCCAAACCCAGTGAGCCAGAGACAGCCCCGACACCAGCACCGCAGCAGAAGACTCAGACTGCACACATGCAGGCCCCTTGGCAGAAGGTTCTGGTGACAGGAGGAGGAGGCTACCTGGGCTTTAGTCTGGGTTCCAGCCTGGCCAAGAGTGGCACTTCTGTCATCCTGCTTGACCTCCGCAGGCCACAGTGGGAGCTGTCCCCAGGGACCGAGTTCATCCAGGTGCAGTGATGAGCATCTTAAGGGTCCTGGGAGGGGGGCCCAGGCTGGGGGTGGAGGTCTGGGGACAGTGTCTGATGTGCAATAGCATGGTGTTGAGGAGCATGGGCTCCTGGACTGGGACTCTTTAAGTTTTGGCACTTCCCAGCTGGCAGCCACGGCCACAGGGCTCCACAACTCTGGCTTCAATGTCCTCACCCAGAGAAAGGAGGCTGTGCAGGGATCTTACGGGGAGTCAGTGAGACAGTGCGTGTAAAACGCCGAGTACTGCCCCTGTGACTCAGCTTGGTAAATGGAGCTGGCTATGATGGTGAAGACCATGATGCCCTGTAGAATCACATAGTAAATCCTGCCCCAACCCCTCTCCTCCAGGTGCTTGGCCAGGGTGGGATCAGAGGCCCAACTCTGGAACCTGGCAACGTGCAGAGTTGGGATCTCTGCCCTGGACCCAAACCTCCTGTCTGCAGCTCTTCCTTCTCTGTTTAAGGCGGACGTCCGAGATGAGGAAGCCTTGTATCGTGCCTTCGAAGGGGTGGACTGTGTCTTCCATGTGGCATCCTATGGAATGTCTGGTGCTGAAAAGGTGAGCACCCCACGTACATTATCTAACAGCGCAGGGTTCAGACCCGGCTTCTGTCCATCCCACCCCTTCATGCCGTGTATTCATTATGGCCCCTCACCTAATCCAGCAAGGATTTGGACTCTATTCAGCCTGCATTTTGCATCCTTGGGACTAAAGGCCAGTTCTGCCCCTTTCAAGCTGTGTGACCTAGGGGGGATTCACTTAACCTCTCTGAGCCTCTGATTCCTCATCTGTACTGGTACTCACGTCAGAACCTCCTCACCCCTCCTCGGGGTGAGGGCACGAGGTCAGAACATACAGATACCCATAGACTCCGAAATCACATTGTGTGTATATTCGCAGCATTGTTCATAATAACAAAGCACGGGAAAGAACATAAATGCCCATCAGTTAAGGACTATTTAAATAAATTATAAGGTATCCACACACACACACTGAAATTCTACGAGGCCATGCAAAAGAATGAAGTGACTCAATATGTTCTGATAACAGAATAATGTCCAAAGTGCAAAAACAGTGTTTGACATCCTCCTGTTTGTATGGAAAAAAAAAAAAAAGCTAGGATAAATATTTATATGCTCACACGTGTGTATGTGCTGATATTAATAAGTATAGATCATCTCTAGAAATACACCGACTGTAACAGTAGTGGTAGTTGCCTCTGGGGGGCGTGGGAAGAAAAGCAGGCAATCCGGAGTGGGGAAAAGGGATCCCTGTGTGGCTCAGTGGTTGAGCGCCTGCCTTCAGCTGAGGGCATGATCCTGGAGACCCAGGATCGAGTCCCACATCGGGCTCCCTGCAGGGAGCCCGCTTCTCCCTCTGCCTATGTCTCTGCCTCTCTCTCTTTCTGTGTCTCTCATGAATAAATAAATAAAAATAAAATATTTTTTAAAAAAGGAGTGGGGAAAAATTTCCTTTTTACTATATACCCTTTTTACTGTTTGAGGGTTTTTTTAATGTTCTATTTATTTTTTATTTAATATTTTTAAGATTTATTTATTTATTTATTCATGAGAGACACAGAGAGGCAGAGACATAGGCAGAGGGAGAAGCGGGCTCCCTGCAGGGAGCCCAATATGCGATTTGATCCTGGAATGATCCTGGAACTCTGGGATCAACGCCCTGAGCCGAATCCAGACACTCAACCACTGAGCCACCGGGGCGTCCCTATTTAATATATTTTTAAATAATTAATTAATTTATTTATTTAGAGAGAGAGCGAGCACATAAGGTATGGGGAGGGGCAAAGGGAGACGGAGAGAGAAAGCATCTCAAGCAGACTCAGCGCTGACCACGGAGCCCTATGCAAGACACTATCCCACGACCCCGAGATCATGACCTGAGCTGAAATCAAAAGTCAGATGCCTAACTGACTGAGTGACCTGGGTGCCCCTGTCTGACTTATTTTTAACTTTGCAATTATATTGCCTATTAAACAAAAACTACGCCAATGAATAAATATAGCTTAGAAATCAAGATTGAAAAAAAAAAAGAAATCAAGATTGAACCCATCTTGTGGTTAGCTGTAAGGACTAAGTGAGCTATAAAGGCTTTGCCCTGTCCTGGGGGTGGGGGGAACGCAAGCAGCTCTCATGTGTACGCAAGATGTTTTTATTTTTCACACCCCAACCTCGCTAGCGCATGGACAGTATTACCCTAAGGAAACCCAGACTTCCAGAGTGAGGAGACGACCCCGCACATTTTGAGTCCCTCTTCTGTGTCAGACACTGTACCAGGTCCTCCCACGGGGTGTTTTCAATCCTGCTGACCACCCTGGGGGGTCTTCCCTCACAAATGAGGGAGCTGAGAACCAGGCAGGGGAAGGGACCTCCCCTAGGCATCCTGGGAGCTGGTGGGCAGAGCTGGCCACTGCCTGTGGGCCTCTCAGATCCCTGCTTCCGAGCCAGACATTCTGCAGCCCCCTGCCCCGTCCCCACTCTGCCCAGCGTTATGGCCTCAGCAATGAGGCATGAGCAGCACCACGACTTTCCCACCTCCGTCTTGTCTTTTAGCTGCAAAAAGAGCAAATTGAGTCTATAAATGTTGGAGGCACCAAACTAGTGATCAATGGTAGGCGCTCAGAGCTCAGTGTGACCTGCTGTGTCTTTCCTGCTTCTGTCCCCTCTCCTGCCACAGGCCCACCTCTGGGGATGGGGGAGGGGGACAGAGGTGGGACCCTCCTCCCCCACCCCTGCCACCCCCAGCAGAGGGCCTGTGGGCAGCACATCCTAAGTGTACTGCAGACCTGCCCAGGCCCCTGCACGGGGTGGGTCAGCATGGCCATAGTGTGTCTGGGGACACGGGCAGCGGGGTTTGGATTTCAGGGATTAGGGTTAGAAAAGTCACTGAAACTCCAAAATAGAAGACCTACATCTGGGTTCTCTGGGCATGTCTTGCCTTGTCCTGCATCCTGTTTTTTCTCTCTAGTCCTAGAGTGTCTTTTTTTCTATATCCCCATCGAGTGAGACTTTCTTCTGACTCATCCCTGGCAAGGTAGCTCAGGGGCCAGGGCCATACTGAGAAGGAGGAGTGAGCCAACCTGGCACCCAGGGCCCCATGGAGCAGGAACTTGACCCACTCCCCTCCTGAGCATATCTATATTCTGGGAGGGCCCCAGAGGCCAGGATGTTTGTCAAAGACTGGGTGGAGGTCAGGATTTTCTCAAGGAGGTCCCAGTGGGCACCTCCTCAGCCAACTCCTACTCACATTGGCCCTGTGTGTGTGTGTGTGTGTGTGTGTGTGTGTGTGTGTTGCTGTGTGCCCCTGTCACTGCAGTTTGTGTCCGTCGACGGGTTCCAAGGCTCATCTACACCAGCACGGTCAATGTCGCATTCGGCGGGAAGCCCATAGAACAGGGTGATGAGGACACTGTGCCATATTTCCCACTGGAGAAGGTACCTGGCTTCCAGGAGAGGTGGGCAGGGCCACTGGGCCTCGGACCCACAGCCCACAGGGTAGGGATGGGTGGAAACCAGGATCAACTTCACAACTCGGGGTTAGTCCCATGAAGAGGGGATCCCTAAAACTGAGTAGCATGAGCCTTCTCCTATTTTAGCTGACCATGCCGGCAGGGATTTTGAAATCACACAGTCCTAGCCTTCAGCCAGCCAGACCACTTTCTATCTGTGGGAACCTGCGCAAGTCATTTTACTCTGAGCCTCTATTTTTTCATCTGGGCATGACCACTCCACCCCATGGGGGTGCAGAGAGCAGGAAATGAGATGATGTATGTGAAAAAAACACAAACACTAAAGAACTAGGTGGAAACAGGTCATCCGACTCACACGCAGCACCTGCATCCCGGAGCAGGCCCTGGGGGCCGGCAAGAGCCTCCCTGAGTGGAAGAGCCCTGGTTGTTGTTACTGCTCTGAGCTCTGCTCCCGTGGCTCCCACCCCAAGAGAAAACAAGGTCACTGAGGCTCAGGGCTTGGCTGCTTCCTGGTGAGGGAGTGGGGGCCCAGAATCTAGCCGTGTGTGGTCTGAAGCAGGGCTGGCCAGGCCTTGCCAGCAGTGTCACTGACCCCTACCTGGTGGCTCTTTTCTTCTTGTCCTCCTCCGGCAGCACATGGACCACTACTCACGAACCAAAGCCATCGCTGACCAGTTGACCCTTATGGCCAATGGAACACCTCTCCCAGGTGGGTGTCAGGGCAAATGCGTGTGCCCCCTGCTGCCTCCCCCAGAATGCATGGGCAAGTCCAACTTTTAGCTTCTATGTTTCTGAGGTTCACTTTCCTTCTAAAGGACAATTCCCCTGGGCCTTCATCACTCATCATTCCACAAATTCTGAGCACCTGCTATGTGCCCGAACCCCACCAGGGATACAGTCCAGGCAAAGTCAGGTCTAGTCTCTGCCTTCATGTTGCTCACAGTCTCGAGTGGGGGAGAAACCAGATAGAAGTGGGCCTTTTTTCTGCCATGTAGGAGTGGATCTAGTTTAAGTATGCTCTTTAGATAAAAGAATACAAAATGATGAATATGGAATGAGGCATAGCACTATGGAAAGGCCATGCAAGTAAGGGCTTGAATGCTCAAACTTCAATAACTTACCAGAAAATACGTCCTCGGCTGCCCTACCATATTGCCTCCTGTGGTTATAGAGAAATAATAATAGAATATGGATAGACAGGCTCCTGGGTGACTCAGCCAGGTAAGTGAGTGACTCTTGATTTTGGCTCAGGTCATGATCTTGGGGTCCTGGGATTGAGCCCCAACATCCCACTGGGTTCTGTGCTCAGCACAGGATTCTCAGGATTCAGGATCCTCTCTCTGCCTCTCCCCCAACTTGTGCATGCCCTCTCTCCCTCTTTCTCATTCTCATAAACAGATCTTAATAGATATATATAGAGAGAGACAGGTATATGACACAGTAGCTGCTCCCATACACTGGCTCAGACTCAAGTGAGTTGAAATCCAAGCACCACTACCATCTCTTAGCTTTGTGATGTGACCTTGGCCAATACACTTTTTTTCCATGCCTCAGGTTCTTCACCTGTAACAAAATGGGGATGATAGTGGAATCTACCTCGAAGAGCTGAGAATAAAATAATAACAGGCACTATTTAAAAAGAAAAAAGAGAATATGAACAGTTTATATTTACCAAGGGCTTACTGTATGCCCAGCCCTATTTTTCATACTAATTTTATATGCAAAGTTCTCAGTAACTCTTTATAGCATCCATGTGAGCTAAGTACCTGAGGGATCCCCTGCGTTCCAAACTCAGGAGCCAGAATGATCCAGATAAATCCCTTGCTGTCCAAATTATCACTATTTGCTTTCTGAAATTCAGAAACTAAAAAGAACAGAAAACCTGGTTTCTCTTACTATCCAAACTCAGGAGCCAAGTAGATCTGGAGAGTGAGAGATCCCACAATTATCTGTAGATTTACAGGGGAGGAGGCTGGGGCTGAGGGGTGAATGGACTTGGCTAAGGACACATAGCTATTAGGGGGCAGAGGTGGGATTTGAACCCCAAACCCCTACACCAGAGGGTCTGACACCAGAGCCTGGAGCTGAACCATCATGCTTCCCTGTAGCCACAGCTGAGCAGGTGAGTAAGCATGGTTCTTTTTTTTTTTTTTAATTTTATTTTATTTATTCATGAGGGACAGAGAAAGAGACAGAGGCAGAGACATAGGCAGAGGGAGAAGCAGGTTCTTTGTGGGGAATCTGATGCGGGACTTGGTCCCAGGACCCTAGGATCATGACCTCAGCCAAAGGCAGACGCTCAACCACTGAGTCACCCAGATGTCCCATGAGCCACCCAGGTGTCCCATGAGGTGTCTTCTTTTCCTTAAAATCTCCCCACCCTACCCTGGCATCCTGGACCTGTCAGGCCTTGACTCCGGATCCCAGAGGGAACATACATCCAGCTGTGTTTTCTCAGGGTTTGACCATGTGTGGTTAAGCTCTCTTCTCTGCCTGGGGCCTTCCCTGGCTGGACCGGCAGCCTGCAAACCAGACACTTAATCCTTTGGCCAAGAATTATTTATACGAGCATCCCCAGCTTTCCGTGGTCAGGAGTCATGGATACCCTGAGCCCCACCCCTCTGTGACGTAGCTGCCCAGTGCCCTGCCGGCCAATGTCAGCTGCAACCAGACCTCCCCCCCACCAGGCCCAGGTGCCCCAGAGTTTAAAATTAGCTGCAGGCTGTTTACAGAAAAGCTTACCTGATACCTGCCTTCCAGGAGTCCAGCCATGGTCACCCTGGGTGATTTCCAGTGTCTGCTAACACAGGCTGGTCCCTGAGACTCTGCCTCTAACCCAGCATGAAGGGGCTCCCATCCCTGAAGCAGAACCCTGAGACTGCAGATCTCAGCTCAGTGCAAATGGGGCAACTGACCACAAACTTGGTGGCTTAAAACTGAACTGTGTTCTCTCATGATTCTCACAATTCACAGCCTGATGCCCGAGATCAAAGTGCCATTTGGGCTGCTTCCCTCCAAAGGCTCTAGGGGAGAAATCTTTCCTCGTCTCACCAGCTTATGGTGGCCCCACTCATTCTTTAGGATACACATGTCTGTGTTAGTCCCTCATGAGGGCTCACATAGAATTTGGGGCTCACCGGATAATCCAAGATGATCTCATTTTGAGATCTTTAATTATATCTGGAAAGATGCTCATCCAAATAAGGTCATATCCACAGGTTCCAGGATGTGGACCTACCTTGTCGGGGGCCACCTCTCAACCTACTATGCTGGTCTCATTGTAAAGTGAGGATGTTTGGGTGTTGGTTATGACCCAAGACACCGGCCCTGGCTCATATTCTGGTGAAAGGAACTTACAGCGGAAGGATGTGAGATAGTTTCTGGAAAATATAGTTGCAGAAAAATGACCACCAGAGCTTGGAAAGGATAGGCTTGGGGCAGCTCCAGGGACTGGGTGGCAGGAGCTGGTTGTGACCAGTATCTTCAGGGTGAATCCACTCATAGGATTTTAGATCCTGGTGTCACGTTCCTGGTTGAGAATATGTCATTAGCCTGACTTGGGTCCCATGGCCACCACTGCAGGGGAGAGTGGCGCGTCTGGCGCATCAGATTGACAGTTCTCTGAGACTTTGTGTGGAAGGAAAGGGGCTCCCCAAACTGAGGTGCAGCCCCTTGGGAAACCTGAGCCCCAGAAAGTGGAGCATCTCCCACAAGACTCCACCTCAGTTAAGGGGGTGCGATTGAGAGGCAAATAATATACAAATTAGTAATTTATTTTTTTTTAATTTTTATTTATTTATGATAGTCACAGAGAGAGAGAGAGAGAGGCGCAGAGACATAGGCAGAGGGAGAAGCAGGCTCCATGCACCGGGAGCCCGACGTGGGATTCGATCCCGGGTCTCCAGGATCGCGCCCTGGGCCAAAGGCAGGCGCCAAACCGCTGCGCCACCCAGGGATCCCACAAATTAGTAATTTAAAAAAATTTTTTTAATCTTCAACAAATGGATTATGAGATAAACTGACAATTTTGTAGGCTTTCTTAAGACTTGAGAGAAATATGTTTGTGGCAGCCCTTCAGGCTGCACCTCCAGATTTCCCCAGGGGAGACTTCACCCTTTCCATCAATGTGGGGCACCCTGGGCAGAAAAGTTAGGAAGCCCTGGACCAAGCTCTGAGTTGGTCTGGGGGACTCTGCTGGCACAGAGCAGTGAGAGCAAGGGGGACAGCACAGCCCCCAGGCTCTAGTGCTGACAGCTCCTGTCTTTTCCTTTCTCCACTGATTGTCTGGAAAGTACAGCTACTACCACTGCTTGCAAGTGCCCATCTTCCAGATGAGGAGACCAAGGCTGAGGGAGTAGAAAAGGTCCGTTTGTGGCAGGAACCTCAGCTCTGGTCCCCCATCTCGGCTCCTCTAGGCTGAGCTGTGTGCCCTTAGGCAAATCCCTTCTCTGAGCCTCAGTTCATTTATCCAGGAAGCAGAGATAATTACAGCTCCCATCCTGAAGGACAAAAAAACTCTGGCTTACCAGAGCACCAGGCACATAGTAGGACTTCCCTGAGAGCCATCATAGTCCTTAGGCAGCTGATGATCAGGAAAGGGAAAGAGCTACAGCCGTTGGCGTGAGGGAGTGGGGGTCTCTGTGTGCATCTGTAAAATGGGTGCAGTTAACTCTCAGGGGAGTCAAAAGAGATTACGTCTGTAGAGTGCTAGGGAGTCAAAGATTACATTTGTCTCATGGGCTGCACACATACCTGCATCTAAGTTTTACCCCGTTACTGAACTGTGAGCATCATGAGGGCAGGAACCATTTCTTGTTCATCCTTGGATTCTCCACAGCACCCATCCCAGGGCCCAGTGCTGGAGATAGACGTTGGGGGAACCTCTGAATGTTGTTTGTTAAATAACTAACAGACCGACTGAGAATAATTAATTGAATAAGGAAACCCCAAGGCCTGTCTTCCTTGCTCACCTGTCCAGGCAAGGACCGGGAGGTGTGGACAGCATTTCTGTGTCTCTCCTTGCTGGTCCACCCCCTCCCCAAGCCCCTGACCACCCTCCCTGTGTCCTAGGAGGAGGGACTCTGCGGACGTGTGTGCTCCGGCCCCCAGGGATCTATGGCCCTGAAGAGCAAAGGCACCTGCCCCGGGTGGCGGTATGTCAACCCAGCCCTGGGCCTGAGGCACAGGACGAGCCTGGCTGCTGTGTGCGTGGATCAGGGCCCTTCAGGGACTGTAGGCCCTGTCCTCAGATTTCTCGCGGCCTGGCCAGGGAGACCGACGCCACGGTCACTGGGCCAGTGTGTGGCAAGGGCTCCGTGGAGGGAAGAAGGGCAATGCCGGCGCAGAGGGGAGAGGGCCTGGCTCCATCCTGGGGCAGGTCCAGGATCCACCTGTGCTGTTCAGGAAGAGAAGAAAGAATTAACCAAGGAAACGGGGTGGGAATTAACCAAGGAAGGTGGTCCAAACGGAGTAGGCAGCTGGGGCACAAACCTGAGTATGACAAAAGTCGCGGCTCCCGTCTTTGCGACAGATCAGTGAGTAAAGCAGACGAGGATTCCTGCCCTCCTGTTCTCACAGGAGATGGGAAATAAACATGGGAAATGATAAGGAGCCTTTGAAGGTATGAGGTACAATGGAAAAGAAGGGGGGGCAGCCCGGGAGCCTCGTCCAGCAGGTGGCAGGTGAATGCCACCCAAAATGACAAAGAAGGTGGTGGGCGATCACACCAGTATTTGGAGGAAGAGCCTTCCAGACAGAGGGAACAGCGAGTCCGAGTCCAAAGCCCTGAGATGGGAGCCTGCCGCCCATTCCTGGGGGGGGGGGAGGGGACACAGTGTGGCTGGAGCCTGGGGAGTTAGGAGACAGAGAGTAGCTGGGGCCAGATCAAAAGGGCCTCCTCAACCATTGTCAGGACTTTTTTGGGGGCAAGGTGGGCATCCTGAAGGTTCTGAGCTGGGAGACACAGGCTGTGACTAAGATCCAGGAGGATCCCCCCTGGCCGTGTAGGGAAGAGCCACAGGGACCATGCGGGGAAGCAGAGACCAGTTCAGACTAGTTGGGTGTCCAGGGAGAGGAGAGGGGCAGCAGTCGGGGTGGTCAGAAGCTGCTGGATTCTGGCCAGAGCGTACCAGCTGAGCCAGCTGGCTCTGCACGTGGGTTGACGTGGAGTGGAGAGAAGGGGAGGCCAGCGGAGGCCCAGGGTTTCAGCCTGAGCCTCTGAGTGCGGTCTACTGAGATGGAACCGGGTGTGTGTGTGTGTGTGTGTGTGTGTGTGTGTGTGTGAATCCAACAAGAGCCAGAATGTCAGGTGCTCCCTCCAGGACGTGGACAAATGGCCATCACATGGAGACATCACGACAGGGGTCTCGGGCAGAGGGGTCTGGCCTAGAGCTAGAAATTTGGGAGCCATCATCCTGTAGATGGTATTCAGAGCCACTCCAGGCATGAGTCTGTGTTTATCCCCCCTCCAGAGCCACATCAAGAAGAGGCTACTCATGTTCCGATTTGGGGACCGCAGGACGCAAATGAACTGGGTGCACGTGCACAATCTGGTGCAGGCACATGTGCTGGCCGCTGAGGCCCTCACCGCTGCCAAGGGCTACGTGGCCGTGAGTCTCCTGTGGTGCTGTCCCCATCACTAGGGGATCCCTGGCTCATGCACATTTCTCCCCAACTCAAGATGGTTGGTGGGACTGTAGGCCCAGGGAAGCTTGGGTGGGGATGTCTTTATAGAGCATCACTAACTCCTTGCAGTGACCCCGTGATGTAGGAATTGTTGGTCCTGAAGTGTAATGGTCACCAAATGCTAAGTGTTTTATATACACCATCACATGTAATCTTCACAACACCTGAAGAGGGAGATTCCATTATTTTCTTCCCATTTCTCAAAGAAACTAAGGTACAGAGAGGTCAAGTGACTCTATTGAGGTCACAAAGCTAGTCAGCGTGGCAGCCCCAGAACTCAAAAAGAATTGCCCAGGTCTGTCTCCAGGGCTGGGGAACAGCCATGACTCTTCAGTGGCTGCTCAGGAGAATTGAGGAGGTCGGAGCAGCTGCTGAGCTATCCAAAAGGGTGGGATCAGGGTGGGGGGGCAGATGCCTGACTGTCCGCCTCCCTGTATGTCCCCTCAGAGTGGCCAGGTGTACTACATCAATGATGGGGAGAGTGTCAACCTCTTCGAGTGGATGGCCCCACTGGTAGGTGCCCAGATGTCCATCCACCCCCACCCCGAGTGAGAATTCTGGGATTTTGCACATCTTCTCTCCTTGTCATCCTTTCCTCCTTCCAGAAAATCAGAAGCTTTCACATTAAAAAGCAATTCTGGTGATAGTATCCACTGGGCAACATTGGAACTGGCCAGAACTGGGTGTGGCTGTCCCTTTGGGGGACCATGTACTCCCCTAGTCTTTCCCAGCCTGATTCCTTTCTGTTGACCGTCCTGTGCTACTTTGCTTGTGACGCCCCCATACTACATGACAAAGCTCTGTAAGGCACAAGTAGAGGGTAGACTGAAGCACATAGAGAGGTGTTGGTCCTGGGGCTCCCAATGCTGCAGCCCCTCAGGGAACCCTGGCCTCCCATCCAGTACTCTACAGACTCCTTCTTGGGGCCAGGCCTGCCTGGAAGGGATCGACCAGAAACCCCGCACTGGAGGATCCATCCTCACCGCATGTGGGCATATTAATGTCAAGAGCTTTATTGAGATATAATTCATATACTTTACGATTCACCTATTTAAAACACGTAACTCAGTGGTCTTTAGCATATTGAGTGGTGCATCCATCACTATAACCAATTTTAGAACATTTCATCATCCTCCAAAAAAGAACCATCCCCCTCAGTTAGACCTTTACCCCAACCCTACCCCTAGCCCCACACCACCCCTAATCTACTCTCTGTTTCTGTAGATTTGCCTGTTTGGACATGCCATATAAATGGAATCATATGCTACGTGAACATTTGTGTTAGGCTTCTTTCATTTAGCATCATACTGTCAAAGTTCATCCATGTGTAACCTGCATCATATTAGTATTCATCCTGTTTGGCAATAATGCCAAAACAATTCCCTTCTATGAATATACCACATTTTGTTTATCCATTCATTGGTTGATAGAAATTGGAGTTTTTCTACTTTGGAGCTAATATGAATAATGCTGCTTTGAACATTAGTGTATACATTTTTTGTGGACGTTACATTTTCATTTCCCTTGGTGTATACCCAGGAGTAGTATTGCTAGGCCTTGTGGTATCTCACTGTTTAACCTTTTGAGGAACTGCCAGACTGTTTTCCAAAGTGGCTACACCATTTTACATTCCCAACAGCAGTGTAAGACAACGGTTCCTTTTCTCCACATCCTTGCCAACCCTTGTGATGGTCAGTCTTTTTGATCTGGAGAGTTTTTATACAAGCGAAGACCTCATTTCACCCTGTGCCAACCCATTCTCTTCGTGCATCTCCTACCACCCTATACATACAGGCTGGGGTGTTGGGTTTTTTTTTTTTTTAATTCTTTAATAGCAGAAAAGTCAATTCTAGAAAAATCATTCTGTGTCTGTGCCTTGGAGTGTCTTTGGCTATAAGCAGATGTAAATAATAGCTAAGTGACATGAACGATCCCAGGTTAAAAACTGACGGATGCATTCAAGCCCTACTTGACTTTTCTAGATCAAAGTTTTCCATTTCAAGACTGGGGCAAGGTTGGGGCTGGCTGTGGGGTTCACTACCCATGTGGGGTAGGCAAGCAGGGGGCCAGGTGGTACACCTGCCAGCTCCAGGGTAAAGGGAACATGCAGCCTTTCCACACCAGCCCTTGAAAGACCTGTTTTCATCTTAGACCCTGTTTCCTTGCAGTTTGAGAAGCTAGGGTACAGCCAGCCTTGGATCCAGGTGCCTACTTCCTGGGTTTACCTAACAGGTAAGGAGAGGAGGGTGTCTGTTATGTGCCAGCTGCACATGCATCCCCTCATTTCAAACCCAGGACAGGATAGGTGGGGGCAAGTGAGGCACTAAAGGCACAGAATCTCAGGAGACCACCACTCTCACGGGCAGGTGCCCCAAGCCCGATCTGCACTTGCCTGGCAACCTCCTCTCCGAAGTCCCCGCCCTGAATGAGCCCCGTCCTACTTGCAAGGTGGGTGCGATTGGGCCACAGCGAGCAGGTGGCAGAGGCAGAAATCACACCTGGGCCTGGCTGACTCCAAAGCTCACACCTGGCCCTGTGGTCTGCGGTGGGAGGCATCATGCCAATCAGGAGGAGAGGGAGCCCTGGGGCTGCCTTGTCCCCCGAGGTGACCCTGAAGTGAAGGCTGCTTCTGGGGATCTGGAGTTTCCTCACTCTTCGGGTCTCACCCCCCATCATCACCTCTGCTAGCCTCCTTCCAGCTGGAATGCAGAGCCAGCACCAGGCACGGAGCAGTCAGCCCCAGGGGACAGCTGACCCTCAAGTGACAGCTGCATCCCTGAAAGACCTTAGCTAAAATCTGTTTTCAATGCATTGGGATGCTTGCCATTGAAAACAGGGATTTGCAAACTTTTGCCCACTGGGCCACACATGTGGGGTGACTTCTTGTGCCCATTGTTGCCACAATGGTTGACACTATTTGACACCCCCCCCCAGGAAAGGAAAGATGGGCCACACATTCTGGCAGTTGTACAGGATTGTTTATAAACTTCCAATTCCTAGCTCACAAACTATAACCCCGCAGTTCTTAACTGTGGCTGCACATTAGAATCATCTGGGAGCTTATAAAATATAAAAATGCCTCAGCTGCACCCCAGACCAATTACATCAGCATCCGCAAGAGGGAGGGGGCGGGAAGAGTGTGAGCATTTTTAAAAGCAGTCCAGCATGCCACCCAGATTGAGAGCCACTGCTCCAACATCTTTCTCTTCTACTCAGGAGACCACACTGTTATAGAAGTGAGCGAAAGAAGGAGGCATGATTTGAGACAACTTTGAATCTGCTCAGATTTATTTTCAAATGTCTGTCCTTACAATGAATGACAAGTTCCTTGTGACACATTTCACAGCCAAACAAGGCACCCTGGTGTGTGCTGAGAACTGATTTAAAGGAATCCAAGGATGGGAGAATTTGGCAAAGTGAAGAGACTCTCCCTAGCATAGCAAATAATGCCCCCAACTGATTTGTCCCCGAGGGCCTCCCTGGAGCTTGCACAGAGTGAGGCACCCTGGTCATTGGCCCCTCTCTCCCCACACAGCTGCAGTGATGGAGTACTTGCACCTGGCCCTGAGGCCCATCTGTAGCGTCCCACCGCTGCTCACCCGGAGCGAGGTAAGTGCACCGCTGCTGGGGGAGCCCCTGCTCCAACCTCCATCGGCACCACCCCTCACCCCTTTGACACTATAACTGGATGTTTGTCTGAGGTCTCGGAACCTTCCATGTGGGCCCACATCAAGCGCTAGCTTCTTCATAATCATCCCAACCTCTGGGCTTTTGCTTAGGCTGTGCTTCCTTGGTCTGCAATGTGATTAGTTCTAAGCCTGTCCCTCATCCCTGTCACTTCATTCATAAGCAGCTTATCTTCGCTGCCAGACAGGAGGCTCCCAAAGGCAGGTTCTGTGACATTCACATTTTTTAATCCCACCCACCAAGGCTACCAGCTCTCAAGACACATGCACACGGAGCCTGGTGGTTCTCGGTTGGCCATTCATGCTTACTGAGTAATAAGGATATATTGAGTGCTAACTGTGTACAGAATACTATTCTCAAACGATGATGATTCAGTTTTCTATTTGCACATACAATTTTTAAAAGAGGATTTTAATAAAGGCTTAATTTCCTTAGAGCATTGCAAGTGGGGGTAGGGGCAGAGGGAGTGGGAGAGACTCAAGCAGACTCTGCACTGAGCTCAGAGGCCTACTCAGGGCTTGATCTCATGAACCTGGGATCATGACCCTGAGATCATGACCTGAACCCAAATCATAAGTCAGATGCTTAACTGACTGAGCCACCTAAGCACCCCTAAAAGAGAGGATTTTTTTTTCTGTTTTTTTTTTAAAGAGTTCACTTATTTATTCATGAGAGACAGAGACACAGGCAGAGGGAGAAGCAGGCTCCATGCAGGGAGCTTGATGTGAGACTCAATCCCCGGACTCCAGGATCATGCCCTGGGCCAAAAGCAGACACTAAACCGCTGAGCCACCCAGGGATCCCCAAGAGAGGATGTTTTAATGCAGATTGTAAATAGTAGTATTTGGCATTACTTGCAAAATCCTTCTAGCTCATGGGCTCATTTGATTCTCTCTGGTGTCCTGCTAAATTAAGAAGGGCAAGAGATTATGATTGTATTTTATGATAAACTGAGCACTGGAGAAGCTAGTGACTTGTCCAGGGTCACACGGTTTGGCATCGGCTTCATACTCCAGGCTCAGTGCTGTCTGACTCAGATAGAGAAGGGGCCACAGAAAGAAGCACTTCTCTGTGGCTTCTCCTTGGACCATGCAAATTAGCAGAGGAAAGGGAATGACATTACCAGCCATCTGTTGAGTGATGGATGCGGTAGGCATTGTGCTTTGGCTTATTTAATTTTCACTACTAAATTGTAGATTGTTATTTCCATTTACAGAGGAAATGAGACACACAGGGGTGAAATAACTTGCCCATGAGTATTCACTTAAGTAGCAGAGCTGACATTCAAACGTAAACCAGACCTAAATGATTTCAAGCTTAACCATCAACTTGTGAAACCAGTCAGGAATCACAATCATGTAAATGAGCTGCCGAAGTGCTGCTGAATTGTGGTTGGGCGGGACTTAGCTCCCCTCCCTCTGGTTTCACTCTTAGGTTTCCCTGTTCAGTGAAGGGGTAAAGGATCCCTACTTTAGCTAAGGACGGTTCTGTTCACTGTGGCTCGGGTGCTCTCTGCTGGTCCGTCTGTGCCATAGCAACCAGCCCTCCAGTTTTAGAGTCCGCTTTACTGAACACTGTTTTGAGCAACCACTGTGCGCTAGGCATTGGGCTGACCAATGGAGACAAGACAGCCCTTACCTCAAGGAGCTCACCGTCCAAAGGGGAAGACAGCTCAGCAACTGGGCAACTCAACACACTCGGATAAGGGCTACACTGGAGGAAACTATGAGGAACTACAGAGCACATAGAAGGGGCACCTAAACCAGTTCTGAGGAAGTTAAGGATACTTCCCAAAGGAAAGTTCAGGACATCTAAACTTGAGAGCATTGTGTCCAGGACCCTGCGGATCTAGTTCCCGGCTGTATCCCCCAAGGCCCTGAACTTACTACCTGGGGCAAAAAGGGACCAGATTGGCCTCTCCTGCACAAGCATCCAAGACCAGCCGCTTGGCCACAGGAGCCGTTTTCATGCTATGGGAAAATCAAGCAGCTTTTTCTGACCCCTTCCTAGGGTCCAGCTGAGGAACAACAGAGGAAGAAATGAGGTGGGAGGGCATCCTCCCAATCCCAGCATAGCAGGGAAGAGCCTGGGATGGAATCTGGCTCCCCTGTGTGAGTCTGGGCAAGTCTCTTATGTTTTAAACTTGCAAATATGTAAAGAGGAAAAAAAAACCACACCAAATATGTAAAGAGGAGACGGTGGTAGTACTACCTAAGGGGATTAAATAAGATAAAGCCTAGAAAGGATTTAGCTCAGGCCAGACACAGTGCCTGTTGTTATGATAACTACCAGTACTGCTCTTGAAGAAATGCAGCCCAGACCCTGGAGAGTAATCACTTCTGTATAATTGTATTCCTCTCCTAGGGAAGCTTAACCAGGGAGGGCGCAAGAAGGCTGCGCCCTGGGGCTTCTAGAGAAGTCTAGAGCGTTTCCTGGGGGGATTTTTCCGGTGAGCTGCACCCAGGCGACAGACGGGGGCGGGGGAGGGGCGGCGCGCGCGCGCGCACACACGCACACACACACACACCACACACCACACACACGTCAGCTTCTCCAGGAGCATCCCCAAGAATGTGTAAATGCTTGCTGAGTCCCAGCACCGTGCAAGGACGGGGAAGTGCAGAGGTGATGGGGCCTTCAGTTTTGGGGGACCGAGTTCAGTAAGGCTGGGGGTGAAGCAGGAAAGGCCTCCTGGAGGCTGCGCCCTAGAGGAAAATGGAGATGGGAGGGAAAAAGGAAATCTTCCTTGAGGTGGGCATCCCTGGAGCAAGACCCAGCATACGGGTTCTTTGAAACTGCTGTGCGGCGGAAGGGCAACACACCTCTGCCCTCCTCTCCTTTTCGGTGAAACAAGGCTACCCGCACAGCCCCGCATCTGGCTGCCCGCCTCTCCCGCAGGTGCGCAGCGTGGCCGTGACGCACACCTTCCAGATCGCCAAGGCCCGCGCCCAGCTTGGCTACGCGCCAGACAAGTTCCGTTTCGCGGACGTCGTGGAACAATACGTGCGGTCCACGAGCCAGCGGCCCTGCGGCTGCACGGCACGGGCACTCCTACGGCTGCTGCTCGGGCTGCTGCTGCTGCTCGGGCTGCTCGCCCTGGCCCTGCGCTTCCCGGGCCTGCAGCCGTCCGGCGTCTGACCTCCGCGCCGGCCGCCGCCAGTTCCCGCCTCCGCGCCACTTCTGGGCTTGGACTCGCCCCAGCTCCGCCTCCAGGCTTGCCCCGCCCTCTTCCCCGTCCCAGGGTCTTGACTCCGCCCCATCCTGACCTTCAGGCTTGCCCCGCCCCATTCCCCGCCCACACCCCGCCCTCTGGACTTGGGCCTGCCCCTGTCCCGACCTCCAGGACTGGGCACGCCCCGCCCCTTTCCCCACTTACACCGTCCCCCGCGCTCTGGGCTTGGCCTCGTCCCTGGTCTTGACTCCGCCCCTGTCCTGGCCTCCCGGCTCGCCCCGCCCACACTCCCGCCCCGGGTCTTGACTCCGCCCCTGGCCTAGGCTTGGGCACGCCCCCTGCCCCGCCTCCGGGCCCGGCGCCCACGCCCCGCCCACACTCCCGCCCCCGGTCTTGACTCCGCCCCTGTCCTGGCCTCCCGGCTCGCCCCGCCCACACTCCCGCCCCGGGTCTTGACTCCGCCCCTGGCCTAGGCTTGGGCACGCCCTGCTCCACCTCCGGGCTCGGCCCGGCGCCTTGCACCGCCCACATTCCACCCTCTGGGCTTGGACCCGCCCCCAGGTCTTGACTCCGCCCCTGTCCTGGCCTCCGGGCTCGCCCCGCCCACACTCCCGCCCCCGGTCTTGACTCCGCCCCTGGCCTGGGCTTGGGCACGCCCCCTGCCCCGCCTCCGGGCCCGGCGCCCACGCCCCGCCCACCCCACGCCCTGCCCTCTGGGTTTGGACCCGCCCCGGGCCCTGACTCCGCCCCTGCCCTGCCTTCGGGGCTTGGGCACGCCTCTGCTCTGCCTCTTGAGCCCCGGCCCCGCCTTCTGGGTCTTGTCCAGGCCGCGTTACTGAGGAGGCAGCCGCACAGCCTCACCTGCCTTTCTGGCCTTCTCCCACCCAGAGAGGTCTCTGCCCCGGATTCTCCCCTGCCCTGGTTCCGCCCTCTTTCTGGCTCTGCGGGTATGACTGCGCCCTCCACTTCGTTTTTCTGTCCGGGATTGGCCCTACTCTTCCCTCTGGATCTGGTCCCTACCCTCTCCTACCTGAAATTCGGCAATAACCACGCCCCCTCCCTTTCTGACTCCACCCCCCTCCAGCCACGCCTCCTGGGTGAGTTCTTGGGGCTTGGCCAGGGTCATCACTAGCCGGTTAAGTGCCGGCCTGCTGGCGTTTGCAGTTTTCCCGGTTTCCTGCGGCCTCTCTAGGGACACTGAACCCTCCTCGCTGGTCAAGCTCCTCTGTGCTTGTCCAGAAATCATCTTGAGATCTTGGAATAGGTTCATCTAGGAGAATTTTGACCTGCAATCAAAATATTTTGGGGTCACTCAGTCATGCACATCTCCCTGTGTGTTGATAGCCGGGGTTGGAGGGACATCTGAGACCCAGGCTTCTGCCCAACACAATCTGGCCTTTTGGGTTTCCGGTTTACTAGTCTGGGGCTGACTTAGTAAGCACAGGTTTCTGTACCAGCAAGGATCTAAACCAAAACAAAATGTTTTAAGGTGGTCAAAAGGTGTAAACTTCCAGTTATAAATAAGTCACGGTGATGTAATGACTATGACTAATAATACTATATTATATATGTGAAAGTTGCTAAGAGAATAGATCCTTTAAATTCTTGTTATAAGAAAAAAAATTGTAGCTATATGTCTCGATGGATGTTAACTAGACGTTGTGATCATTTCATAATATATACATAAATCTGGGATCCCTGGGTGGCGCAGCGGTTTGGGGCCTGCCTTTGGCCCAGGGCGCGATCCTGGAGACCCGGGATCGAATCCCATGTCGGGCTCCTGGTGCATGGAGCCTGCTTCTCCCTCTGCCTATGTCTCTGCCTCTCTCTCTTTCTCTCTCTGTGACTATCATAAATAAATAAAAATTAAAAAAAATATACATAAATCATGTTGTACACCTGAAAATAATACTATGTGTAGGTTATATCTCAAAAAATAACTTTTTGAAAAAGTACCCATATAATTACAATGGGAAGAATTAACACTTGTTTTGGTCATATCTTATAATCTCATATTTCTTCTAATTGTTAATAGGGGCAGTGGTGATCACCGTTTAATGTTCAAACCCACAACATTTCTCAGGCTTTGCTCTCCACAGAAACACCCCTCCCCGTTGTCTCCGTATTAATTACGAGTACCAACATAGCAGTGTGTAAATATATCCATGTATATATCATAGTGAACACACGTGGAACTGGCCCACCAAACAATGGATCCTGGCAGAAGAAACCATTACAAGCCTAACAAAATCTCCGGTGAAGGGGAGGGTATGTATTTGAGCCAACTTGGCCCTCCCCAGTGTATCCCTCTTTGCTGAACAATTAAGAAAGTTTGGGAAGCAGCTAAAAAGTATATGCTCCTCTTTGCTGGGTTGAACTGTATATGTACCGATAATTTTTTTTAAGATTTTATTTATTTATTCATAGAGATGCAGAGAGAGAGAGAGGCAGAGACACAGGCAGAGGGAGAAGCAGGCTCCAAGCAGGGAGCCCAACGTGGGACTTGATCCAGGGTCTCCAGATCACGCCCTGGGCTGCAGGCGGCGCTAAACCACTGCACCACTGGGGCTGCCCTGTACCAATAATTTTTTAAAGCTCAGTAATAATCCTTCATGTCTGTGTAATGCTTGACAGTTTGAAAGGCCTTTCATCTATATGATCTTACTTAATTCTTAGGGCCACCCTTACAGTAGGGTTTATTCCCATTTTATAGATGAGGAAATTGGGGTTATATCTAACTTCAAAGTGGAAGAGGTGGGGGTTACTCCTCTGCAGCTGGAGCAATGTGGAGGAGCTGCCCAAGGCCCACTGGACTAAACACTACACACGGTGATTTCTACATCTCAGCCATGTAAGGGTTTCCTTTGAGCTCTGGCATCACCTTAGGCCATTTGGGGCTGGCAGCCCTTGGGCTCCCTTTCTTAGTAATGCACGTGCCTCTGAATGAACCACCTTCTTCTCTGACTTTCCTCTCTCTATCAATCCTGGGAAATCTGTTCTCGGGGCAGGGAAAACAAGCTTTCACTGTTCACATCATCTTCTAAATCCTTTGTCTTCTGCCAAAACACAGCTTTCAAAAAAACACAAGGAAAATCAGTTTCTTTGTTTTCTGGATTTTCTCTTTAAGTCATCTTTCCTTTGAGGCTCTGAATATTTACACTCTGGGCCCACAGGCAGTGTGGGTCACTATGCCAAGAAAACCTCCCTCCTTTCGTGTGTCTTGACCAGTGGAAAAAGAGGCAGTCCCTCGGCCCAACAGACAAACTCAGTCCCCATGAGCACTTTAGAGGCTGCCCAGGTAACCAGCCCCCCATGCATGAGGTTCTGAGAGAAGTAGGAGGTCCTAGCTTACTTGGAAACATGAGTAGGAGCAACGTGAATACAGAGAAGAGAGCTATCGCTGTGGGCGGCCAATCCGAACGGACCATCAAGGTGAATTCATGTTTTCCACTTGTGGGTACTGATGCTACTCCCTGTTGTAGGCCCAAGGCTGGGTGTCTAAGATATCCTCCACTCTCAGGGTGCCTGGCTGGCTCAGTGGGAGGAGTGTATGTGACCCTTAACCTCAGGGCTGGTTGTAGGTTCAAGCCCCATTTTGAGAGTACAGATTGCTAAAAAATAAATTTAAAATGTATCCTCTAATCTCTCTCATCTTAAAAATATTGTCCCTTGGGATGCCTGGGTGGCTCAGCAGTTGAGCATCTGCCTTTGGCTCAGGGCGTGAATCTGGAGCCCTAGGATTGAGTCCCGCATCAGGGTCCCTGCAGGGAGCCTGCTTCTCCCTCTGCCTGTGTCTCTCATTCTTTCTCTGTGTCTCTCGTGAATTAAAAAAAGAAAAGAAAAAAATATATATATATTCTCCATTGATTCCCCATTTCCTTGTCTCAGTACTGGTCCTATGGCTCTCCTCCTTCTCAGGGTCAAATATTGTGGTGAGTTGTCCACACTTATGTTTCTATTTCTTCTCTTCAACTCATCCAAAATGGCTTTCATGGGGGTCATCCATTACCTTGTCCATAAATCGTTAAGTCCAGTGGATATTTTTTAGTCTTTATCTTGCCAAGCCTCTTAGCCTTGTTCAACCTAGCTGGCTACTCCCCCTTTGCAATACTCTTCTTGGCCTATATGACACCACATGTGTTTTTCACCTGTCCCTGGCCAGTCTTTCTCTGTCCCCTCTCTCCCACTGTTCTCCCTTTAAGATGATGTTCTTCAGGATTCTGTCTTGGCCTCTCTCCTCCCCGGGTGCACTCTTCCTGAGCATGTCTATCCATTCCTGTGGCCTCAGTCTCCACCACCTCCCAAATCTGTGTCATTTTTTCAGAGCATTCTCTTGACCCCCAGACTTCTGTGTCCAACCTCCTAGTCCAACCTCCTACTCAAGCTCATGTACCACATCTCAAGCTCAATGTGAATCAAATTGAAATCATGTTTTCCAGGGTGCCTGGGTGGCTCAGTTGGTTGGGCGTGTGCCTTCCTCTTGGGTCATGATCTTCGGTGGGTCCCAGGATTGAGCCTCACTTTGGGCTTCCTGCTCAGTGGGGAGGCTGCTTCTCTCTCTCTCTCTCTCTCTCTCTCTTTCTCTCTCTCATCTCTATCTCCCTCCTTTTGCCCCTCCCCACTACTCATTCTCTCTTTCTCTCTCTCTCTGTCAAATAAAATATTAAAAAGAATAGAAACCATCTTTCCCACAAATTCCTCTGCACCCTGTGATCCCTCTCAGGAAGGGAAGAGACACCACTAATGCCACCATCCAGTGGTTCAAGTCCCAAACCAGGCCATCACTTCTGACATGTTCTTCTTCACATCTTCATCAGTGAGTTTTCATCAGATCCCTTCCACAGTGTCTGTCTGACCCACCCTTTCTGTCCTACACACTGTCACAACCAAACCATGGTACAAGGCACTCCTTCCCCTAGACAGCTGCAGTAGACTTTGAATGGAACCTCCTGTTCTTGCTGCCAGAGGGAACTTTCTAAACCCAAAATTGGAACATGCCTCCCTCTAGCTTAAAACCTTTTGTGGTTTCCTATTGCCCTCGGGATGAGGTTCAAAGCCTCATGTGGCTTTCATGACCCTCCTTGCCTAACATGCCAGCGTCATCTCTTGTGGTTAATCCAAGCTGCTCTCTGCTCAGCTGCCCTGAATTGCCTTTAAAGCATCTCAAGACTCACCAGGCTCTCATTTGCTGCTAGGATTTTCCATATGCTGTTTCCTCTTCCTGGGACTCTTCTCTCCCATACTTAACCTGTCCATTTCAAGTCCCAGCTAAATGTCACCTCCTCGGTTGACCTGGGCCAGGTTTGCATGCTGCACTGCATAAGACTCCTCACTGGTTTGTAACTTGAAATGATCACAGTTGTAAAACTGAGTGAGAAGACTTGCCTGCCTTCTGTGCTCTGTAGCCTCAGGACGAACTTGGTTTCTGGCACACAGCAGAACTTTCATAGTTATTGGCTAAATAAATAGATGAGAGGCCCCTGAGCCAAGCCTGAAGACCAGAGAGGTGGATCAATGAAGCTGGGACCTCAAGGGCAAGCCCCCTGAGGCCCGAGCCTTTCCACAGGATCACCTGCCACGCTTCTACCAACAGAGGTCTGTGGAGTCAGCTGGGGCTCTCCGTAGGACACAGAGCGGGCTGGAAAGGAGCCCTCCCTAACTCAGGTCACAATTAAATCACCCCAGCCAACCTTTGTCCTTGTAGGGTAAGGAGGTTTGCTCCCTGTGGCCTCCAGTCCTGGAGCATTAAATTAAAGATGTAGGCAGTCTGCTGGAAACTATTAAAGTTATCTCAGATGCTTTTCTCCTGGAAATTAAGGAGGCACCCCTGGTTTTGTTTTTTAGGTAGCCGGATCGGTGTGTTTGTGTACTGGGCTAGGACAGGAAAGGGCCTGAGTTGCAGTTTCTTCCTTCTCCCGTTCGCTCTCTATTCCTTTTTTTTTTTTTTAAGAGCGTAAGAAAAGAGCAAAAAGGAAGAGGGACAGAGAAAGGATAACAGACAAATTGAAGGGTGAGGAGAATGACAAATTGAAGGGTTCAGGAAAAGTGAGACCATCCTGGGTGTGGCAGCGGTGGGATTCGAACCCACGCCATCGAAATGACTGGAGCCTAAATCCAGCGCCTTAGACCACTCGGCCACGCTACCGCCCGCTACCACGTCTTCCGCTGAGACTATATTAGTCTAATGACGTGGCATCTCACGCTCCATGGCCCGCCCCCCTGGATTTTGCGCATGCGCAATATCCGCCGAGTGTCTGCTGCGCCTATTAAAGGCATCTTGACCCCCACCTCCCTTCTGGGCCCCGGAATCACAGTACTTTTGTGATCGGCAGCAAAAACTATGGTCGGAACCCAGCATTACAAAGGAAAGAAGAGTTCCTAAATATTAAGCATTAATATTCAGTCCTCCCATGCGTGTACGTGAGCTTTGCCGTGTGCGTCGTATGCTGGCTACGGCCACGAGGGGGCGGTGCCGCGCCGCCGGTCCTCCCGGCCGGGCTGGGGCCCGGCTGCTCTGACCCCACCTGCGGAACCCCCAGCCCCACTCCAGGTCAGCTCTGCAAGCCTGGGTGGCCCCGCGGCGCGGTCCCTGCTCCCGCGAGGTGAGAGTCACCGGTCCAGGTGGATGTCGTTACAATGACAACGTTGTTACACGGTACCCCTTGTCCGCATCTTAGAAGCTGAGGTGCAGAGAGGCCAAGTGACTTGTCTCCACCTGCCGAGCCAGCCTCCCCCCGCCTCCCAAGACCCTTCCGTGCAGGCGATCTGTTTTCCGTTTTCAATGCAACACAGTTGCATTAAGTACAATCTCTAAA